TGCGTAGAACGGAGTACCCACTCATGATGAGTTGTAGATGTGTGGTCGAGCGCCATCATCTAGGGCGTGAAGCTGATGAGGTCGGCACGAATGTCGAAGGCTTACAGAGCTATTGATTCTGGGGATCTGTTCACCACCACAGTATCCAGACCGACACCGGATTCTTTCTGCAAAGCAGTACGGTTTTAAAACAGGTTACTCATTTCCTACGAACTTGTTGGTGGCCCATAAATCTTGGGGCCCCTTTGAAGTTTACATGTTACCTACAAACTCAGCCTTCATCGTCTTCAGAAAGGCTTTTGACAAAGTCCCACACAACCGATTGTTATCTAAATTAAGTGATATCTGGATTGGTGGTAAACTATTTATGTGAATAGAGGAAATCCAAGTTGGGCGTCAAAATAAAGCACTGGTTGACTGCAAGTCGTCTAGCTGAGAAACTGTGCTTAGCGGAGTGCCTCAGCGTACAGTTTTGGGGCTATTGTTGTTCTCCCCGTGTGCAAACGGTCTTCCTCGCCTCCTATCATCATCGATCTTGCTACACACTGACGACGTCAAGATATGGAAAGCGATGAAAAGTAAAAGTGATAGCTTAGAGTTTAAAAGGGACCTCGGGAAGATTTCAAATGGTCTAGAACTCGGCAGCTGCAGATAAATGCTTCCAAGTGCATTATGGTGCATATTGATTACCAATGTACAGATACCTACACGGTGAATAACATTCAGCTACCTGCCGTCCAGACATATAATAACATGAGAGTCATCGTCAGCCAAGATTTGAAAACTACTTCACACTGTAGTGCGATGGCCGCTAAGGGTTTTAGAACTATATGGTCAGTACGTATTCAGCCATACCGATGATGAAATCCTATTTACTTTTTATGCATAGTTCATTCGTACTAAACTCGAGTATTGTGTACAAACAGCTAGCCCTCGCCTAAAAACAACAGTGAGCTGTTGAAAAAGGTTTAAACAATCGCAAGTGTGTTGATTTCCGAGATCACTAATCTCTCGTATGAAGAGAGCCTGTCTAAATGAAACCTGTAGCTATTGTCATGCAGAAGGACAAGAGGTGACTTCATCATAGATTTTAAGTTACTTTCTGCTAAATTCACATCTGATATGTCATAATTTTTTGTTTTCCAAAACAGAGCATTTACGAGGACTCTCTAAAAAAGTTCACAAGTCCGGAACAAATCACTCGTTAGCTGACTATCGACTTTCCCATCGAATCACCAACGAGTGGAACTCGTTACCTTGACACGTGAGTGAAGCTTCATCTGTCCATACACTCGAAGGAAGATAAGTCAATCAAGAGGCCACCATTGCTTAGACTCATACAGGCCACTCAGCCTCCTGTCCTTTCCAGACTGAAACTGATCAGGACTTAATCCTCCAAGTGTTAAGTGGCCTTCTGATCGTAATTAAACACTTAGTGCGATAGAAAATAAGGATGACTCAGTACATTTATGACCGAATAAGACTGTTCACTGTTAATCATATTCAGCCCCTATGATGTTGCTACAGACATTGTATATTGAAATTTGTTTCACTTGGTCTACAAGGAACTTAGGGGCTCTCGATTTAGATCCCTTCACGTTGGTGTTGTGAGAAATGAGCAGGGTGCCTAAAGTTTTTGGCAAGACCTATGCGACTCCGCGGAGACCGTTTGAAAAGGAGCGTTTGGACCAAGAGTTAAAGCTCATTGGTGAATATGGTCTGCGCAACAAACGCGAAGTATGGAGAGTAAAATATGTCTTAGCCAAGATACGTAAGTCAGCCCGCGAGTTGCTGACACTGGATGATAAAGACCCCAGACGGCTTTTTGGAGGTACCAGTTTTACTTTGTCCTTCATTTTAAGGGTCCGCTCTGCTGAGACGCTTAGTTCGAGTTGGTGTACTTCCCGAAGATAAGATGAAACTGGATTTCGTTTTGGGCTTGAAGATAGAAGACTTTTTAGAACGAAGACTTCAAACTCAAGTTTTTAAACTTGGTTTGGCCAGAAGCATCCATCATGCCAGAGTCCTCATCCGCCAACGGCACATAAGAGTAAGAAAACAGATGGTTAACTGTCCTGGGTTTCTGGTACGTTTGGACTCAGGAAAACACATAGAATACAGTACAACATCTCCATATGGTTGTGGTCGCCCTGGTAAGCTCACCTACAGTATTTTCCTAATTCTTCAGGTCGTGTCAAAAGGAAAAAGGAGCGTAAAGCCCAAGGTGGTGACGACGAGAACGGAAGTGATGAAGAGTGATTATTAGCTTCAACGGAATAAATATCGAAATTGCATGATTTTGTTCTTAGTAGTTAAGTTTGGAAAGCAGTCAGTTAGGCCCGTGGTTAGTCTGATCCTCAAGGTTAGTTATTCAGAGAATGATAGTGTGCTGGGAACATGCATTTGGATTGTTTCACAATGCTGTCAGCCACATGTGATTCTGCCACTAGTTAATGAATCGTGTAACGTTTTACTACATGGTGAAGTAATCAATCTTCACATTAACACATGATGAACAATGCTCGCTGTCCTTCACCGTTGGTGCGTAGATTTCTAGCCAACCAGGATCGATGCACCAAATCCGCGCAGACTATTCCTGTGTCATCACTGGTCGTCCTTACTTTCGCTGAAGTCATGTGGTTCCTGACATGCCAGTTTTCTTTTAGAACATGATTCCGCGGACCACGACTGTTGTTCTCTGTGCCTCTTCTGAATTGGCGAGCGATTCTAGTGCGTGATAGTGGAGTGATGAATCTTAAGGGTTTGGAGGTGTTACGGCCTCAAATCTCTTAATAGACAGGGTCAGGGGGACCGTGTGTCTTTCGGGATTGCTGCTAAGAACAGGGACTGGTATACCAGCCGCGTGTAATCATGCTTATTTACTCTTCGTGATGTTCCTAGTTTGTCAGCGAAGTCCTCGGCTACTTTACGATAGGTGAGGATAATATCCTTGTGCGTACAAGCCCCCAGCTGCTCAGTTGATGTGTTTGCTGTATGCAGCCTGGGATTCGTTTGTTGCAGTTCATTTTTTATGACTATGCAGTACATATAATGAAGTGCGGATCAAATAAAAACTACCGAGCCACAACATGAAGTCCTAGGCGTTTGTTATCGCCCGGTACCTATCAAAATGAAGTTGTTTCTCTCTAGTCGGATCCCAGTTGCTCGCCTTAGTAATTAGTTTTTCATTCAGTAAACATTGTAGGTCACTTGAATATGCTGCTGGACATAAAATGTGGTGTTTCGATGGAAGTTTGTGATGAACACTCTCAGCCCCAGCCTGGGTGCAGCTAAGCGATGTTCTGGGGTTACACCTTACTTTATCGTTATGTTGTTCACTAACGCACGTGTGTACGATTTGGGAAAGGGGTAGCTTTGCGTATGTGCTTCTGTGAGGATATTGTTACGACAGTGGCTGGTACGGGTGCGTCAGCACTCGTTCCTCTATACCAGCTCAGGTAACCGAGTGATTTCTATCGTTTGTTGATCAGGTGTTTCGTCATTCATTTCGCTAATATGGATTACAGCCGCAAAACTGCGAAGTCTTTTGAAAACGTATATGCGTTGTCTAACATTTCAATTGAGCTGTACGTTGGTGTGCGTCTCACTGTGATTTTCTTGACACTTCTGTTATCGGCTTATGTAGACTGGTTTGTCACGACGTCCAATGCGGAGTAGTGTTGGAGACGGCTGAGAGAAAGTTAGAGGTGGCCAAACCAAGACTTGGCATCAGTCATTGAAGTCATCAACTTCCAGTCTGAGCCATGTTGATACATGCAGACTACTTGTCTTCTCTTTAACCTTGATATTACAACTAGTTTGTTTCTTCCTGTGCACAACCAGTCTTTTATATATTACTACCATTGAAGAAACTACCTCTGTGAATTTGATGTTCTACATGTGCTAATGAGGTATGACAACCTAGACCAATGCATACACGTGCCTGGTCATACATTGCAGCTAACTGACCGACAGTTAGAATCCATTTGGCCTGTACGCTCCCCTAGCATGTTGTCTCCTAACCTTGTATATTTCATGGTCAATGTGACATTGATTAGTTTCCTAACGACTTGATTGGCAACATCACAGATTTAACCGGAATGCTAAATGAAGTGTGTCTGGCCGATGTTAGCTGTATGCGAATTCAGTGGGATGAGCGAATGAAGTCTCCAACAGTTGATAAGTGAGTTGTCCTACTGTGTAGTCGGAAGATATATCACGCATGTAGAAGTGCTGACATTGAAATAAGACTCGACTGTGTCCACATCTAGTAGTTTGGAATTTTCAATAAATACAGTATAATGGACTAAACATGGTAAAGTATTAGTGGTGCAATAGGAAAGGAAACAGGCATCATAATGATTCGGATCCACATCGTTTGTCGCTACTTCGATGAATTTATTGACGAATTAATTGTCACCAGTGATTTCACAGCTGTTAGTGAGTTCGGATGACTAGCTACCAATCGAATCAAACTTGATTTGAGAACAGCTGTAAAACCAAACTCCTAATGAGAATTACAATTCCGAATTGGAGTCAGCTAAATATATGTTGTGGAGCTTATTCGCGCTACAGAGTAACGGTTGCAAATTGAACTCATCTTAAACTGACGTTAGCACAGGAATTTCTTCGGATCACGACAATTGTCACTGTACCATCTGTACGTTGACGTTCATTTATTTATTGTTAGTCGTTTAGTGTAATCTAATATCGAAATAATAATAATCTCAGGTACGTTTCATGTAATTAAGTCGAGTATCGTTTATTTTATAGGAGTCTGATATTAGTTGTGTTGTCAATTGGCGGTACCTGGTATCAATCAATCAGCAGTTGCAAAGATTCGTTTTTGTAGTGAGATAGAATGTTTCTTATTTACAAGTTCAGTGATTATATTTATAGTTTTTTCTTCCGTATTAATTCGAATATTGACTAGTATCTCTTTTTCTATGCTCGATAACAACACTAGGGATTTATGTGTCCGGGATTAAAACAAACCAGCAAAACAAGACAAATGTATATTTTAATTAGTTTTGAAAATAAAAACCAAGCTTTCATGTGTTTATTTTTAATGAACAGTAGCACGGATAGCTAATAATCACCAAACGGATCCACAAGCGGCGTATTCAGTTTCATTCACTTGAACCTAAAATTAGAGTTTATTAGTATGCAGTGAGAACGAATTTCGGATAATTAAAATGAAAGACGACAGATAACATACTTAAAGTAATTTGGGGTTCTATTCCTGTAGGGACAATGGAACATTTTTGATCAACAGCTGTTGAAGCATTCTCGTTGGCGTTGCATGGAACCAAAGCTTCTGTTTTTAATCCATTCATAATCTATAATAAAATTATATGGAAATTACTAGATTTGAAAAAAGCACCGAAAACCAGTTCGTTATAGAAAGAGAACAAAATGGTAAGACTGCACTAACCGATCAGACAGATCTACACAGTAAAAAATAAATGAGAAATTCTTTAGAAGCCATGTGCAATTCAAGATTAAGATGTTTGATTGACTGTTATTTCTAAATTACTGAGCTACTTGCATCGATAAAGTCAGCCTTTTTTAAAACGAAACCAAAAATTACCAGGACCTTAATTCGAACAGCCGTGCGTCATACATATTTTGACGAATAGTGGTCATACAGGTGACGTTCACACTCAGGAAATTTGAAAGACTTGCTTTTTTCCGCTAAGACAGTGTATATAGCCTGAGAATGTTGATCTTACAAATATAACATTTGATAATGATTTTATTCGGTCACTGAAAGTTACTAAAGTTCAAAAACTCGGATGATAAAAATCGAAAATAAATTATGTAGATTGGTTACGATAAATAGTTTATAAGGGCTAAGTAACGAGAAAGAACAACCTACTGAGAATAATATCAGTAGCGCCTGCATACTTATAGAAAACACCGACTCTTATGCACATGAAAATTCAAGTCTTAGGTACTTTCACAAAACATGACGACTGTAGGTAACACTATGACCAGTGCAACATGGTAAAATATCTTTAGAATCATAAGCGGATGATCGATACAAAGATGAAACAGTAGTAATCGGATTAAGACGGTTAAGAAGAGGACCAATGTAACTTTTATTTACACACTTACATATTCTGAAACATCGGAACTGACGTTTGAAACCATAGTAGTTTGTTCACACACATTCTTGACTGTAGCAAAATCAATTTCCGCAACTTTAGGAACATTTCCTTCCTGTAGTGAAATAAATTAATTGAATAAATTTGCAAAAATGTGAAGAAGTCTAAAAAGAAAAAAATCTTACGTTCAGCGAATCAGATAATGACAGATCGTTTTTAAATGAATCTGAAGTATTAAGTTTCTTTGTAGACTTGACAGATTCCTTGTTACTAGATACTGAACAAGGTGACAATGAACGCTTGAGTTGTTTAGATGACTCACTAACCGAGTGACGAATATAAAAACGACTGGATGCTTGTCGAAGTGCCGATCGACAGGCATCAAGAACAGATGCCTGTTGTTCCAAAACACGAGCTAGAGAGTCAACTTTGTCCCGTTCATCCCTATATCGTCTTCGATAGTCCTCCATACTTGAAGAAGTTCTCGACAACTTATCTTTCAGTTCCGAGAAGTCCGCAACAGATTCACGTAGACGGGCTGCAAAAAATGTAAAACACAGATAAAACGACCACGTGACATTTTGTCAGTCATTTAAATGTAACGTAGAGCACGACATGTATGCATTGATTCTATTTGCCACGTTATATGAACACAATGAGAATAAACATGTAAGGATAAATAACAGAATGATGGTGGCATTACATATATCAGAAGCGCTAGACGAAGTTAAATATAAAGGAAACAATGTTAGGACACGAGGTAAGACAAAAACAAGAAGAATATATGTGTCTGCGCGTCCACAAACGATGATGAGTCATAACAACATTAGGTTCAGTATGGGAAACGCATCACTTACATGCTAACGTTGTTTTCCAAGTCAATTATAAAACTGGATTTTGTCAGCTTCTTCATCAAACAGAACTATGCCATTTGCGTATTTCAAGTCATTAGACGAACATCCTGGCAGGAGATCGACCCCCGGAAAGTCAATTGGAGAAAATATTATTTCCAGAAGGATATCAATGATAAAATCAAATAAAAATGGAGATAGTGGACTTCGACTCGATCAACTGTGTTTGAATAGAAAGCCTTCACAAGGTCTTGGTACGCCTTTCAATGAAAGACACTCAAAAACTCGCCGATCTACGGAGTTGAACGTGGCCGCCTTAAGGTCAGGAGATACAACCATGCTTGAGAGTTAGTTGGTATATTTGTGTTCCAGAGTCTGGCGAAGAGCGAATGTTTGGTTTACACAACCACGTCTAAGTCTGAAACCATCTTGCTTTCCTCGAGTTTACTCCCCATAAACCTTAGATAACCGTCATATGATTAATGAGGTTTATATTTTAGACACTATTAATCAATCTGATTCCTTTGTGGTTACAACAAGAGGATCTTTGTTCTTTCTTATAGACTGGAACGATCAGTGATTGAGACTAGTCAGGTGGAATTAAATCTACTTCCCCGACTCTAGCCAAGATCCCAGTCAATCTAATGGCCATAATTGGAACATCACCCTTAGAGATCTCCGGGTTATTACATTAGGGAATACTCCTTTGTCTCGGTTTAGATTAGGTATAGCTTTTTTTTTACCTCTTTAAGAGTTGAATGGCTTGTGCTGACATTCTAGGTTGCTTGGTAAAAGTGGGTAACCGAAGGGTAGATGCAGAGTAGTTAAACAGTTCTTCAAAGTGTCTAGCCCACCGTTCTGGCCTCCTGGGTTGAGAGTGGATCATTGTTCAATGTTTCCTAGTTGTTCTTGACGGGTACTTTTTAACGTCGAGCTGAACTTAAAGAGGTCAATTGTGTTTCATTACGGCGTCCAGTAAGACGTAAGCAATCGGGTATTTGCACTAGAGCATAGCGTTTTAACTTGTGCTGCGGAAGACGTTTATCGAGCACATCTATACAGTCTACATTATGAATTAGGCCTGAGACTTTAAGTTACTGAATTTAGAATTACCGTTCTTCGACCGATCTGCTTGGAATGACAGGACGTATTAGAGGCATAAGTGTTAGGGCCAATACTGTCTGATTGGTTCATTAAGATTCAGTATGTGACGAATCAATACATATCTAATTATTCGATAAAACTCTATATATAGAACCGATAGGGACATACCAATTTCCTGTTCTTGAAGTCGGATTTGAGTCATCAGTTTGGAGTGTTCGCGTTCTGACGTTCTTATATGACCGAGATATTCCTCGGGATGGATAGCCTGAGAATTAAATGATTCGCCAGACTTTTGAAGTACAACGATGCTAAAAATAAGACAATACGTAGTTGATAACACAATAGTGAAAATACCGAATAATGCACAGTAGCAAATAAATCAATAGCGCGAATGTTCCGCCTGGTGGGCTTAAATATGATATGGTAGATGGGAAATTTACAAAACTGAACTAAAGAGATTCAGAAAATCGACAGATAACTAAAATAAGCTACAAAAAAACTAACCTTCCGCTAGGTTGCGCATCTATTTGGTCGTCTAAAATAGCATCACCTCCACGTACAAGTTCCAGTAAATATTCATCATCGTCTATATCGGAGAATATAACAGATGATTTATTCGCTAAAGAAAGAGGTTCTTCTGAATCCGTCAAGGAACGGTAGTGGAAACGACCATGATCAAGAACTTTGTATATGAGAGATCGAAGCTAAATAAGAAAAACAGTAATAAGCTTATAAACATCTGTGGGTTGAAAACTAGGAAAAACGATGTTACAACAACAAAAAAAGGTAAGCGGAAAAGCAAGTATACGACAGTCACTAGGTTGGTCTAAATGTACAAGTGTACTTTGATATAATTTCCTGCAGATGGACCCAAAGGTTGAGCTTATTTTTACACCTCTAGTATAGAAGCACGGAGTGTGGTCCCCTAATGAAAACAATCGCCTCAATTTGGGTGCCAGGGCAGTATCCTAGCCCATGTACAAACCAAATGATGATTACAACCATAATAGATTATCCTAACACTAACTAACAATCGTTTTAATTTTACACTTCTTCACTTGTCTATTCCCTTGTTCTAAACTCATACAACAACTCGCACACGGTGAAGATTCTGTCCTGTTTCAACAACCGCAAATCACTGACTAACTGGTCAAAAGTTAAATGCTACCAGACTTACTGAAACCACGTGTGTCATTCAAAATGGATTTCTTTAAGCGGTCGACAGGCTCAACTACAACAGTCAACCTTTTCTAACCCCGTCCTTTCTTGTGAGAAAGCAGCATCGCTGCAGATGCTGGTTGCCCGAAGGAAACACCTTACTGCTGTCACCCTCCTACAGTCGGCAGTACGACTTCGCCCTCATACTTTGAGTTGCTGCTTTTACACTTACCGTTCTTCAATCGACCACCCTGGCATGGTAGAACCTACAGGAACATATGTTCCAGCGAATATAGCTCGGCTGAATCACCACGAAAAGGCCAGCCCGACCAACGCGGTCGACGGGTGGGGATAAATCGACTTCTGATCGCGTCCAAATTATTGGCTTCGGTCTTACTTCGCAGATTGTTCAAAACACTCCCAAACGCCCTGGTACTGGTAGAGGGTGGGGAGAGTCAACTCTCTCTCACGAAACGCTCATACAGCTACTCGTATAAAGTCATTGCCACGGATGTCCTACCAAGTGCCTTATTGCGGCGGTGTTATCTACGAGACTGATAGGATGAAAAGCGAATATACGGGTTGGCAGATACGGAAGATCCACCTAGGGAAGTTGGATAACCCTAATTCTAAACCAATGGTGCATATGGGGCTCGAGGTTCCTAAGGGAACAAATCGCGTATGAGCCTATCGTTGGTCACAGGCTACCATGGGACTGAATCTCTCAACGTTGCGTCGCTGCCTCGGGAATTAGACCTGTCTGTTGTGTATCTGAGGTCCACATTCAAGACTAATGAATTATTACACACTCACTACATCTGTCGCTTTGAAAAGCTTGTTCCGCGTGCGCTTTCGCAGGGACCTTGTGATATATTTGCCTGGTTTTACTGCTTGTCATTATTTCATTCATACACTAGTTCCCACTTAATGATCTTTCATATCATACCTTACTTTTCGACACGGTTACAACCTTAACTTTATTGTGGCGCACATATATTTAGTGTCCCTTTGTATCAGTGTTTTTGTGTTCAAATAAATAAACAACACTGGTGGGCGCAAGAAGGCAAGACGAACTATAATATAGACGCCCAGTTCTTTTAGACAGATGAACAGAAGTTGATGAATCTGACTTAAAGGAAGCTTCACGAAGTACTATTTTAGAGCATACAAGGGTCAGACAGAGCCTCCATACTAAGATCGAAAATATTATCGGAGAATGACTGAAGACTGGGACGACTAGCGAGGACAAGCATGACATGACTATGCTTAGACTCATAAGCTTAACAAGCCTAAAACACAAAACTACCACCTAAAAAGAAAAGTAGAGTTAGCCAGCTAATTGGTATGGCATCAAGTCAGATATGATGTTATAAACTTGAGTGGGATGACATGTCCTAGGAAGAAGTGAGATCTCGTAGTTATCATTATGATGAAACATTTACTTGAAGTAACAGCGGTTTCGCGTTATACCAGTCTTAACCGAGAAATGCTACTTCCTTACACCAGTGACCTGATAGTACTACTGTAAGTCCTCAAGGCCACAAGCCATGAAACTAGTCTATTGCTGGTAATGTTACTAAGCATTTGCAATCTAACAGCATAAATTGTTTTTAGGTTATAAGGTGTGGCAATTATCTATTAATAGTTAGGAATAATTGCTTCTTCAGTAAATAATTAAGCTTATCAGTAAAAAAAGTCGGAAAGTCTACCTGGAAAGTTGTAAGGTATTGAGGCTGAAAAGGTCGCAGTAATGGGAATGATTCTTGCCAATTGCATCTAACCCGATACAAGTCAACTGGCGGGAGAACATTAGGGAAGCGTCTTTGTAGGTCTGAGAACAAGTACTCTTTCACATTCAGCATACGTTTGGGGTTGATCGGAGTCCTTATTTTCTTATTACGTATCGCATATATATTTTGATGTCTCTTAATACCAATGTTCGTATGTTTAAATGAAACGAAATAAACTAACCAAAGCGTAATCAGATATTTATAGGCCGCGGAAAAAGTGAGTAATAATATCCAAATAAATGTTGGACATGTACAAGAAAATTTAACAATCATTCCGTTAAGTGAAAACTAAAAACGACCGCTCACCTGATATCGAGAGATAGGCAAGCCTAGTGAAAGAATGAAGTCCTCGACCTCCGACGAGAGGAAATAACTCTTATAGCTTGTATCCAGTACTGTGCATGCAAAAAGCAATGGTAGATCGGTCGTATACAATGGAGTTTCCTTAAATTCCTCGTCTTTTGCCAGAGATGTCCTTTCATTACGCTCTAAACGAGCACGTTTAGCTACATAATCTGGTTCACTAAGAAAAAAGGAATTGTTGAAAGTCTCCCCCAGAGTATAATACAATAGTTAAAACAGTGGAGACATTAATGAATGAACAAGTTTTGGAACAAGAGGTAACACAACATAAAACAGTAACTAAATAATACAGATTTAAAAATACCTGCGTTTCCTAGGTTTTGCGCAAATTCCTCTATCTGCAGCCGTAACAAGGGCACGAAATAAAGTGAATACGGAATCTCTGCGAAGCATGTCAAAGATTGTGTGGATGCAAAACATGAATTCATATGATCTACAGTCCATAAAATCAGATTTTGAATCCATGACAACCTTTAAGTACAACAATGTGAGAAGTGAATGCAAAATGAAACATATAATATTGATCCAAGTTATATCAGGAGTTAATACTGACGAAATTTCTTAAATGGACGTAGTACTATTTAGAAATGATACGAGACTTACCATAACTTTCGTTATTCGGCAGCCGACTTGAAGCCTCAGAACGCTCTGTTCTACCTTCGACTATTGTATAATGTAAATCATTCAGTTGACAACCGATTAAAATTCAAATGTGACAACTTGAATTGATGCATACATATGTGCCAGGCTCTAAATTGAACATGACTGATTGACCGAACAGAAGCTATAGGTTGATTCATTATTTAAAATGAAGAAGCTTGAGTGACGTAATGCTAAAGGTTACTACGAGTAAGATGGTATATTACCCAAACTATTGATGCCTCCTCTTTTAGTTTTGTGGCAAGTATTATAGACACAACATCATTAAGGTTTATGCAAACACCTATTGTTGACGAGCAGTTTATATTAATTCGTATGAAAGAAACGAAAAAACTAAGGTCAATTTGATGGCCTGATAAGAAATACAGAGGAAGCTATAAAATATCTACTTACATCAAGCCCAACTGACTGTACGGTGAAGTCGACAGTTTTCTTGCGTAAGATTATTATTGAAGGGAGATCACGGAGAGTCAACTTAGGTGCATCCGTCCATGGTTTAGATCCAGACTCCGTATTTGAAGGTTTTATTTGTTCTTCTGAAACTTGGGGTGACTTATCAATAGTCACAGACTGTAATGTTTTTTCCTGCTCCATTTCTGAAAGTGTAGGTCAGGAAAATGTATAAACTTAAGGGATTAGAGAATATAATTAGATGAATACACAAGCATCTATTTGTGAAATGATTTACTTTCTTTTTCAGCCTTCTTAGCCGACTCCTTTTCTTCTTCTTCTTGGATTGCCGTTTTGAGACGAGTCAACAACTGAGCTCTTACTCCCTCAGTAGGCAAATTACGAGCTTTTAACTGTTCACGCAGTTCGGAAACCTACGAAAGTCATTAAATATCAACATTTATTTTTCGAGTATCTTAATTCAAGTAGTAAAATAGAAAACCAAAAATGCACCATACCAATAAAGTGATAATACTGTAGGAAAACGAAAGTATATGATGATACAGTTTATTTAAAAGTCGATAGAGACTACATTTAGTTAAGTTTATTTAGCTTTTATGAAGGATTTAAGCGAAAATGACAAGTGGATATGTACTGACTTTTATTCTGTGCTACAGTTACGCAACCTGCAAGGCCCGAATAATAGTTTTGGATCAACAGATAAACACTATATACCGGTCGCGTTCGCTTTTTCCACTCAGTACAATCGCCCAGGAAGTCCATGGAATGACATCTGCACAATATAACCGAGGCAGTACAGTCAGTGTTTTGAGAATAATCGCAAGTGGTCTGAACACACATTACCGAACCTCGTTTATTACTAATAAAGTTACTAACTGACGCAAACAAACCATTATGGACGACGATGACCGAGAACAGCAAGTGACTGAATGTCCTCAGCTAAGAAATGCCAGGCTTTAAAAGGATAAAAAATGAACTCGTAAACGCTATCATTTTAGAGCGACTACAAGTGACCTAGATCGGGATACTCCGTCCTACTTTTCAGTATAAGTATATTGATCTTATTATCAACTTAACACTTAATTACCCGGATGCTCGAATGTTTCTAATGGAATGCGAGTGCAGACATAGGTTCTTGACATAAGAATTATTTTGCGTTCTGAAAGTGCAAAGTACATTCAGTAATTACGAACACCGACTGTTAGCTGAATGAGAACTTTAGATACATGGTGTATTATTGCACTGTACCATAATGGTACTGGCACTCGAAATCTTGAAGTAACAAATGAACGCCTTCACTACGTATTTCCAAAGATGTATTCAGAATGTTATTGATGATACGGTTGAGAAAGGTGAGACTGGACGTTTTTATTAGGTTGGAAAAATAGAGGCGGTTATATCTTTTCACTCTGCTCGAGGTTGTTGAGTACAGAGCCTCTAAAAATTAATATACATTTCAAGCACAACCCGATGACGAGACAATCATGGTAACCAGCCATGTTTAAAAAACTATATAAGCTTATTATGTAAAAAAAAACCAGATTGTTGTCCATAACTAAGAGTGACGTCTTTAGTATATCAGATTGAAAGCAGAGACTACTGGACTTATGGATGTTCAATTTTGAAGGCTTTAGCACAAAACTGAGTATGCCAACCAATGATGCAGTGAGGGAAACGCATCTCTTACATGCTAACTTTGTTTTCCAAGTCAATTATAAAACTGGATTTTGTCAGCTTCTTCATCAAACAGAACTATGCCATTTGCGTATTTCAAGTCATTAGACGAACATCCTGGCAGGAGATCGACCCCCGGAAAGTCAATTGGAGAAAATATTATTTCCAGAAGGATATCAATGATAAAATCAAATAAAAATGGAGATAGTGGACTTCGACTCGATCAACTGTGTTTGAATAGAAAGCCTTCACAAGGTCTTGGTACGCCTTTCAATGAAAGACACTCAAAAACTCGCCGATCTACGGAGTTGAACGTGGCCGCCTTAAGGTCAGGAGATACAACCATGCTTGAGAGTTAGTTGGTATATTTGTGTTCCAGAGTCTGGCGAAGAGCGAATGTTTGGTTTACACAACCACGTCTAAGTCTGAAACCATCTTGCTTTCCTCGAGTTTACTCCCCATAAACCTTAGATAACCGTCATATGATTAATGAGGTTTATATTTTAGACACTATTAATCAATCTGATTCCTTTGTGGTTACAACAAGAGGATCTTTGTTCTTTCTTATAGACTGGAACGATCAGTGATTGAGACTAGTCAGGTGGAATTAAATCTACTTCCCCGACTCTAGCCAAGATCCCAGTCAATCTAATGGCCATAATTGGAACATCACCCTTAGAGATCTCCGGGTTATTACATTAGGGAATACTCCTTTGTCTCGGTTTAGATTAGGTATAGCTTTTTTTTTACCTCTTTAAGAGTTGAATGGCTTGTGCTGACATTCTAGGTTGCTTGGTAAAAGTGGGTAACCGAAGGGTAGATGCAGAGTAGTTAAACAGTTCTTCAAAGTGTCTAGCCCACCGTTCTGGCCTCCTGGGTTGAGAGTGGATCATTGTTCCGTGTTTTTCAAAAAGTCTCAGTGATTGGCGAATTCTTCATATGTTTCTTTGAAAAATTTGTAAAGTTGTTTCCCATCGCGTATCGTCATTGCCGTTTTTTAAAATTTCGAATTATCGGCACATCAATGCTCATGACCGTTGTGTAGGCTTTTTCCCAGTCTACGTTTAAGTTGCATTCGCTATTTATCGTGTTCGCAGCCTGATAAATCTGCGAGCATCAATGGAACAGAACTCTACGGTCCGAGCTAAGGAAGTCTGTTGACAAAATATTTGAACATGGCTATCATGTAAATTAGAGAGCGGTTTTAAGAGACCAGGTGTAACATCTCATGGAGTTAAATAATTAGCATTGTTGGTGCATAGTGATTAATAGCAAGAAGTCAATAATCATAGTTGTAAACATTTTACTAACTGTCCCAGTGAAATATGTATTTAAGAGAAAGGTTGCATTCATCAGCAATTGCAAAATCTAGATCTAGACATTGTCAGAAACTTGAAATGGAACGTGGAAATTTCAAGGTCGAAAATTCCCCATTATTCTGAGCGGTACGATAAAGTTTATGCGAATTGATAGAAAGAATGTGAACGAAAGTATTGCACAGGAGTATAAAATTTCTTAAAAAAACGAACGTGCTTGTGCCTATGATTGTACTGGCTTGAAACCACTGCATGTACTGCTCCAAAATATTATAGTGACAATAAGAAATGGAATGAGAGATGTAAATGTGCTTACCTTCATGCTAGCTAAGTTAAGTTCAGTATGAAGCTTTTTCTGGCATTTATCAGTTCCCTGACGGAAAAAACAGATAAACATAACAGTTACTATGATACCTTGAAAGTTGTTTGCATTATCATGATCGTAAATAAATTACAGACTTTATATGCAAATTAAATGACTAAATGCTAGATATACTGTAGGAACATAATATGACAACAGTAAGTTAGGTAGCAACCTCCTGATTTGGATTTCCTTGAGCTGCTAAATCCACAGATTCGGACCCATCCTCTGTCTCGGAGATAATTGCTATTTTTGGAACAGTTTCCTGACCAGCCAAATACGGGGTAGAGCGATGGAATTCAACAGGCGCTTGAAGGGTTGACTTGTTGCCTTCATCCATTTTAGACACATTGGAATCTTCATATGTATTGTCTTGAGTAGGTGATTTCAGTGAATTTGAATCCAGTTCAATCGCCACATTAAATTTCCCGTCACCAGTTCCCTTAAAAGCAGATTCTAAACCAGAAAACTTCTTCAAGTTGGAAGGAGTCATTGGAAATACGTTAGGTTCTTTTGAAGCCAAGATATTTTCATAAGCCAGCTTTACAGTCGACCATTCTTCGTCTGTAGGCATGAGTGACCAAACATTTGGAATAAAATATACGACAATTTGATGAAATGGTTTGCTTGGAGGAATCATATCAGATTCAGGAGATTCTGTGACGGGTCGACCCCAAAGTTGAGAGCCAGGAAATAAGACTGAGGTTGGTTGGGCAGTTGAACCTTCAGTATGACTATAGCGGAACTCCAGGAAACGGTGCCTGGGGAAAGTGGACAGGATGATAACAACAGTAAACGCGACGTCGATCAAAGGAACGCGTAAGACCCATATTGTTTGATATTTGTATATAAACAATATAAGGAAAGTTAAAAATTAGACAGATAAATTATCAAGCTATGCAATGAGGTTGTGAAAACATTAGGATCGATTTAAAATCAAAGACGCTATAGTGAGCACTTATGACCTGACAGTGTTTTATTGTTGGGCAGACTTAGAGAAATAAGTACTTAACAGATATAAATTTATTTATTTCAATGGAGATTTCTCTGAGTTTTTGTACGAAGATCAACGCACAATCCAGAAGAATTAGGCATTTGAACTGACTTACTAGTGAATGTGGAGACAGCTTATTTACTCTACACAACCGTTTATAGATACGGAAGAACAGTAGTCAAGATGGTAGATGAAATTTCGTTAACAATAAAATGATTATGAGCAATGGGACTAGATTTGGATACTACAATATACCTGCTTAAGAATAAACTGCGAAAGACTGACCAGAAACATAGATCACAAGTTAAAACTGAGTAACATACCACTGTGTGCAATACGATAAATCGAGACCAATAAGTTGTTTACAATTACGAATAGCCGTGTTGACAAGAGTTTGAGGATTTGTAGCTGGGTCTGGCCCGTCTAAATCACGACTCCACGAACCTCCAATAGCCTTGAGTCTTTCATCAACCTTTCCAGCAGCTAGTATCTTGATGTACTTACGTAGTGAGCCGCGTACACGACTAGGCGACTCTGCTCGGACAAATATCTTCTCCATTAGTTCTGCCATTGCCGGGAGTGACAAAAGTAAGACATACGCAGCAAAACCACTATCACTGTTGTAAGAATGATGCACATCGTCACAAGCGTCTTCAGGTTCTTTAATTATCTACACGATTAAAAAATGAAAATAGGCTTTTGCCAACGAATAAATTTAAAACAAGTTGAAAGTATTTGTATTTATATTATCTTGAATTATCAGCACAATAATAGCCATATGGCCTACTTAGGGTTGAGAATTAAGTTCGAGATCAAGTATGTTAATGAAGCACCTAAATAAAATTTATAAGGCATGTAGCAACCAGTCGATAAAACGTTTGTTAGTCGACTGATCAGATTCAATTTGGGATTTACACCTAACTTCATATTTAACAACACCGTGCAAAAAGTATTAAATACTTAGTCAATAACTAAATCTCTACAGAAGTTTTCTACTTTAACATGCTGGGTAAAAAAAAATAGTTTAGTATCTTGTCTACATCACAAATGCTATGGTACAGTAGAGAGTGGGGAGAGTCAGCTCTCTCTCACGAAACGCTCATACAGCTACTCGTATAAAATCATTGCCACGGATGTCCTACCAAGTGCCTTATTGCGGCGGTGTTATCTACGAGACTGATAGGATGAAAAGCGAATATACGGGTTGGCAGATACGGAAGATCCACCTAGGGAAGTTGGATAACCCTAATTCTAAACCAATGGTGCATATGGGGCTCGAGGTTCCTAAGGGAACAAATCGCGTATGAGCCTATCGTTGGTCACAGGCTACCATGGGACTGAATCTCTCAACGTTGCGTCGCTGCCTCGGGAATTAGACCTGTCTGTTGTGTATCTGAGGTCCACATTCAAGACTAATGAATTATTACACACTCACTACATCTGTCGCTTTGAAAAGCTTGTTCCGCGTGCGCTTTCGCAGGGACCTTGTGATATATTTGCCTGGTTTTACTGCTTGTCATTATTTCATTCATACACTAGTTCCCACTTAATGATCTTTCATATCATACCTTACTTTTCGACACGGTTACAACCTTAACTTTATTGTGGCGCACATATATTTAGTGTCCCTTTGTATCAGTGTTTTTGTGTTCAAATAAATAAACAACACTGGTGGGCGCAAGAAGGCAAGACGAACTATAATATAGACGCCCAGTTCTTTTAGACAGATGAACAGAAGTTGATGAATCTGACTTAAAGGAAGCTTCACGAAGTACTATTTTAGAGCATACAAGGGTCAGACAGAGCCTCCATACTAAGATCGAAAATATTATCGGAGAATGACTGAAGACTGGGACGACTAGCGAGGACAAGCATGACATGACTATGCTTAGACTCATAAGCTTAACAAGCCTAAAACACAAAACTACCACCTAAAAAGAAAAGTAGAGTTAGCCAGCTAATTGGTATGGCATCAAGTCAGATATGATGTTATAAACTTGAGTGGGATGACATGTCCTAGGAAGAAGTGAGATCTCGTAGTTATCATTATGATGAAACATTTACTTGAAGTAACAGCGGTTTCGCGTTATACCAGTCTTAACCGAGAAATGCTACTTCCTTACACCAGTGACCTGATAGTACTACTGTAAGTCCTCAAGGCCACAAGCCATGAAACTAGTCTATTGCTGGTAATGTTACTAAGCATTTGCAATCTAACAGCATAAATTGTTTTTAGGTTATAAGGTGTGGCAATTATCTATTAATAGTTAGGAATAATTGCTTCTTCAGTAAATAATTAAGCTTATCAGTAAAAAAAGTCGGAAAGTCTACCTGGAAAGTTGTAAGGTATTGAGGCTGAAAAGGTCGCAGTAATGGGAATGATTCTTGCCAATTGCATCTAACCCGATACAAGTCAACTGGCGGGAGAACATTAGGGAAGCGTCTTTGTAGGTCTGAGAACAAGTACTCTTTCACATTCAGCATACGTTTGGGGTTGATCGGAGTCCTACAATACAAGTCAGTCGTGGGAGAGGAGTGTCGCGTTGAAACAGAATCTACAGGAGTTCTTCTTCGATCACGATTCGGAGATTTTTTGATTGAGTGGTCATCTCTAACAACGAAAATAAAAGTTAACAGCACAATACCTGTTGAGAACATGAGAACGCTTCTTATCTACTCGTCGCTGATCGCTGCTGGATGGATGAACATCTCGTTCACGTGATGCTGGTTTAGTGTAGTTATCACGTGGAGAGTGTTTACGCGGGGACTGGCTCTTCCAGTAGCTGCTTTCTTCTGCTTTATCTCTAGATTTCCCGCGACGTTCCTCAACCCGCCAGACTTTTTCGGCACTCCACTTTATAGGCATGTGAGGTTGATAAACTGCGCTTGCAGCAACATTATCTCCTACCTCAACCATAGGACCAATTACACACCTTACGTCTTAATACAAAGCAAGTTAATAGAAACTTACTTTCTCTGGAAAAAAATTTCGTTATTGATATATCCGAATGTAGGGTACATTTTAGTGACGTACCCTACCAGTTGGTGAGAGGAGGATTCGGCTGTCATTATGGAGCCAGGTGTTGTGGCGGCAAACATCACGGAAAATACTGAGCGCCAAAAGTTACAAACAAAACCGCCATATGCAAATGAACAAATGTTACGTAAACAAAATATTACTAAATGCTGAAAATTGCATATCTTATTTTCTATTCAGAATCAAGAACTGTGAAGCAGTGTTTGATTAGTTCACCGCGCTATTGGAATATAGTGAGCTACACTGCGGATGTCGGGCAGACATGAAAAAGAAGGAAAAATCCCTGTAGATGATGAGGGTATTCTTAATTGTGTGACAGAATATGCAAACGTTAACAGTAAATCTCGGCAGTTCGTTCGGTCCCAAGTTATATCGGATGATCAGTCACAATTATGTACTCAATATCCGTTGTGTCTCCAAAATTCCCGCGTTCTGAATAACGATTGCGGTGATACGTGTATGACTAAAAATATTGACTCCAAAAGGCATGGAGAGTCTGTAAGCGAAGATCCATCGAAGTCTTTTGTCTTTTCAAACATGTCACAATTTGGAAATAAACAAATACTTGGAGATGATTTTCGGACTTCACATTCGGTTAAACGTCCTTATGAATCATTCTGTTTAGTTTCAAACTCTTCTGCAAAGCGAAATTGCTGTACTGTTGGGCAAGATGAATGTGAAGAACAGTCTCATGAACCATCGACATCAAATAATCAATTTGACAGCCTAGCTTCTCGTGGTTTCGATTTATCTTCGGAAATCAGAACTACAGCTCGAAGGTCAGAAGATCATTCTTTACCTTTGGCTCACAATTTAACCTATGAAATTGGAGTAATAAATGAAGTCCCGGATATTGCGCTAAAACTAACAGAGAATAAATACCGGTCTGAGCGTAAATCGCCTCCTTATTGTGTAGCTCATTCATTCACGATGGCTGAAATGGAACAAGCTAAGAAGTTAGAAAAGGACGAAAATCTTATTCCGTTTTTTTCCCCCCTCAGTAAGTCTCGGGCTCCTTCTTCGGCAGTTTCACCAGAATCTTCATATGGCAACTCTGTAGTTTCAAGTAAGCTTGTCCCTATTAAAGGAATTATTTGCCTTGTTATCTTATTCATCTTCACCTAATATGTATTCAAAATTACTCCTAGCCTTCGATAATAACCCTAACTTAACAGACATAAGAGTTATCGAGTCCTCACAAATATGTCCAAACTACTGTATATGGCTGGAAACCGACCATATAGATTGTTATTAATTATTAAGTGTCTTTGTTCGCAAGACTCGGACATTTGAAATAATATCTACACTAAAAAGTAGATGTCGAATTTGTACGTGCACGTACATCATGATGACGAAATATATTTTCTGGTGTAATAGTAGGTCGAAAGGAAATTAGGGAGGGGTCCTTTGAACTGAACCGTGCAGATGGATGCGGAAAAACTGGTTGGTGTTGGTGTGATTATCATAACTAATGATTGACGACAAGTGACATTAGACAGAATCAGTCTAAAATTAGTATGCGCACTCACTTTGTTTTCCTGTGACCTGTTTTTTGAAATCATCGTGTATTTTTTTATTCCGTAATGTTCTACCACCACTGTTACTGTTTCTAGTGCTCTGAAATTTGTTTTGGTAATTACATCGTGCACTGATATAGCGTGTCAACTCGAATCAATGCATATATGGGCTAAGTTCTAAGTTGCTTGTAACTTACTGTTGAGGTAACAACGATGTCTGTTTCCCCTATTTCGAATTTCTCTATTGATCCATTTTTAAATACATACCTGGTATGTACTTAGTTATATCAATTTAAGTGTCAATGATAACCTGGATTTTACATCTGTAGTTTGCCGCTTCGTATATCTTATAGTGAAATCTCGTAATATAAAGATTAACAGATTCTCCAATTAACCATAATTCGCTAATCGACATGTATGAAATAGGTGTATTCATCATTATTTGGATTGCCAATGAGAAAGTTCTCAAAAGGATTTTGATATTTCCTGCGGTAAAAATACTTCATTTTACCTTGTTTCTTCTGAGGCTTATATAGCGGTTCAAAACGTACTTAAGCTACCTTTGGCTTCACCTAATTAAGTGGTTTTCAAAAAGTAACGGATACCCACAATTCGCCCAACGGTTGGTCTTAGATCTAAATATTACATCAAGCTTATTGAAACTCAGTTTCGGTTTGGAAAGGACAGGAGGCTTGATGACCTGCGTTAGCCCTGGCAATGGTGGTCTCTCAGTTAATCCAACTTTCTTTTGAATGAATCGACGGATAGAGCCTCAACCACGTGCTGAGGTAATGAATGCCGCTCGTTGATGATTCGGTGGGAACGTTGATAGTCAGCTGACAAGTAATTTGTTTTGGGCTTGTGAACTTTTTCGGAGTGTCCTCGTAAATTCTCTGTTTTGGAAGACAAGAAAAATGAGGGCATATCAGGTGCAAATTTGGCAATGAGCAATTTGAAAACTGTAATCAAATCGCCTCTAGTTCTACGATATGACAACGGGAATAGGTTTAGCTTGGCCAGTCGAGCATCATACGGAAGCTTCGCTATTCCGGGAATCAGCTTATTTGCTGTTCTCTTAACCTTTTCCAGAAGCTCACTGTCGTTTTTTAAGCAGGGGCTAGCCGCTTGTATGCAGTACTCAAGTTTAGGACGTACGAACACTGTATATAAAGTCAAAAACGTCTTGGCGTCGACATGTCTAAAAGCCCTACGTATTGACCATAAAGTTCTAAAACCTTTGGCAGCTATTGCGCTGCGCTGTGCAGTAGTCTTTAAATCTTGGCTAACGATGACTTCTAAGTCATTGTGTCTGGACAACAGGTAGCTCAGTGTTATTCATCGTGTATGTATCTGTACCTTGATGACCGATATGCATCACAACACACTTGGAAGTATTTATCGGCAACTGCCAGGTTTGAGAACATTCAGATAATTTCTGCAGGTCATTTTGGAGTTCTAAGCTATCACCCTCATATCGTATCGTTCTCCATATCTTGACATCGTCAGCATACAGCAAGAGCGATGATAATAGGAGACGAGGAAGGTCATTTACATACAAGAGGAATAGCACTGGCCCCAAAACTGTGCCCTGGGGCACTCCACTAAGCACAGTTTCCCAGCTAGATAACTTTGAGTTCACCCGAACTCTTTGTTGGCGCCCAAATAGGAAGTATTTTATCCACATCAATAGATTGCCTCCGATTCCGACATTTCTTAGCTTATGTAACAGCCGGTTGTGCGGAACCTTGTCAAAAGCTTTGCTGAAATGAACGAAGGCTACGTCTACAGGTAACTTTTGGTCCTTAAGAGCGCACCAGCTTTCACGAGCCACTAATAAGTTAGTGAGACAAGAGTAACCTATTCTGAAACCGTGCTGCTTCTCCGAAAGGATCCGGTTTTTATCGAAATACTTAGACAGCTCCTTCCGAATAATCTTTTCTAAGATTTCAACAACCACACCAGTTAGGATAACGGCTCGGTAATTCCCAGGTTTACGTTTCGTACCTGTTTTGGAGACAGGACTTACTATGGCGTTCTTCCAGTCTTTTGGTAAACGACGGATAGATTAAAGCATATGCTTAAAGGGTTCGCAACGAAGTTAGATAATTCCTTCAGTAGCCCAGGATGCAATTCATCGAGCCCCGGGAATCTGCGTATGTCTAGCTTATTTAGCAGACCAAAGACATCGAGTTTTTTAATTGTCATGCTATCCAGTGTATGTGTGGGGTGAATTGTATGAAGTGACGGCAAGGGTGCTTCTATGGTATATACATTGCTAAAGTAGTTCGAGAACACGAGCCTTACCAAAGTCGTCCTCCACTAATGATGCGGCAGTACTGTCTCTCCATAGTGCAGGAATATTTCCTCTCCTTTTGTCCTTTGGCTTATATAAGAATACAAGCGTTTAGGACATTCTATGGATTCCTTAACAATCTTTTCTTCGTACAACTTTCTAGACCTACGGAGGGTCGAGGCACAGGTATTCCGGACTTTTCCATACTCGGATTTAGTTTCATCAGTCCCCAGTAACGTAAATCTATCCCACATTTTTCTTCTCTTACGGAGAAGGATGCGGACCTCCCTACTAAACCATGGTGGAGAGTTTCACGGCCCCCTTGGTATATTCCAAGGGATGTGGGGTGTGGTAACTTTTAAGTATAAATTTCAAAATGCGTCCCAAGCCGTTTCAATTGAGGACTCTGGGTCTATTGCCCAATCTACTAACGATGCTGAGTGCATGATATCTGGTATGTTTGCTTTCCAAACTTTAGGTCTAGATTGTGCTCGTGATTGACGGTTATATGGAAGTCGAAAGTTAGAACTGCGTGATCACTTTTACCTAGGGTTGGCATGTAATGGAGGTTCGCAACGTCATCCTCATAGTGAGTCAATATAAGATCTAGTAAGGATGATTTAGTATCCGGGTCGTACCTAGTCGCTTCTTTCACATGTTGCACTAGAGCACATGTGATAACCGCATCAACTAGTTCCTGCTCGAAGGAATTTTCTGACGATTCAGTTCGCAAATTTTCCCAGTCTGCCATAGGTGCATTAAAGTCCCCTAGGATTAGACATCGACCACTTTGTGACCAAGTATTGAGACTGCTTAGCAGGACTTCATTTACCTCACAGCTTGGACTGCGATAGAACAAACCAATCAGCAGCTCTTGTCCCTTGCATTTCAAGCGGAGACTAACTAATTCACACGTCCCACTCTCATGGGATACACTGTCGATAATGGCAAGTAAGATAGCATTCCTAATGAATAGAGCTACTTCCCCTCCTTTACGCTTTTGTGTTCTGTCGGCCCTTACTAACGTAAAACCCTCGAAATCAAGTTCCATACTATTTGTAGCCTGTGTCAGCCAGGTTTCTGTAACTGCGATTATGTCTGGCTTTGTAGAGTCAATCTGTACACCTTGTTCCGATCGCTTATTAAGTAAGCTCCGGGCATTAGTGTAGCAGATCCGAAGCCTATTTAAGTGGCTTCGTGCTTCACCCAGAGTGGCTTGGGGATCATTCTTTGTCGAAGCCTCACAACCCGAAAATTTACAATTCTTATGTCCTTTTCGCCAGCGTCTAACCTAAGTTGTAGTTCTTTCTCGGCTTCCCGTCTTTTTACACGGTCTGCCAGCTGCAAGTCCTTGCGGATAAAAACTCCTGAACCCTTTAATTTATGTCCATTCTGTAAAATTAAGTCGCGTTCATTCGGAAATTTGAATACTACTTTAAGCAATCTGGATTGGTTAGGCTTCAAGTTCGCTAGACTACCTAGTCTATACACCTTTAGCAAGGTGACCCCGGTGATATTTTGAGGCATGAGTTGATTAAGTAGCTGTTTAATCAGCACGATGTCATGCTCAAAACGAGCTTTAGGTTCAGAGCTCTCGCTCTCCTTGATTCTATGGAAAATAGCTGATCTGTCACTATGATCAGTTTTCGATTTTACGACTACTGTCGCGGGGGTAGGATCACCATTTATATCGCTGCTTTTTTCTTCCTTACAACCTGTACCCACTCGTCAACGGTGCTGGGAGAAGAAACAACAGCTGCGTCAAGCCTAGCGTTGGATTCTGGAGGGTTGTCGACGACCTGAGAGGTCAGGTTATGTTCACCGCTTGAAACCGATCGAGCCTTGCGATTGTGGCTTCTAGGCGTTTCCTGTGGGATCCCATCTGGGAGACGGGGAACAGAAGAACCTACTTTCCTTGAGCTTTTGTTTAAGGCAGGCCCCTTTAGAGACTGCTTTTCCTTCTTTGACCGGCGTGAGTCATCTATTATCGAACTAACCGTAGTTTGCTTCATTTCGATTTGTGTGTTGACAGATCGAGTGCTGTTTGACGTGTTCCGACTACGCTTGCTAAAACACTTCTTTGCAGCATCAATTAGTGAGATGGCCTCGGTTAACAGGCTGTTTGCATCCGAACAGCACTGTTGACAAAGCCAGACGCAACCCTTCTTACTGAACCGTTTGAAAGCCGCAGGCGTTAAGTTCGTGCAAACTTTTTGGTACCAGCGTTTGCACTCGTCGCACTGCATGCCGCTTTCAACGGGATAACGACAACCCGGACGATTTCAACTGCTTTTTTTACACTGTCCGGTCATTTAAAAGGAGTCCTTTTCAAAAAGGGACGAGATGCGATGATACTCAGAAACCAAAAATAATCAATGACCAAAAAGCGAAGAACTGTAGATTGTTAGGACCAAAAGTACTAACAGATACAATTGAAAATGAAGTACGCAAGAGTAGCAACGACAAAACTAATTGAGAGAACGGTAAAAACGGTACGCTAGTCGAATACTTTGACTGAAATGAATTCAATTAAATTGAAAACAGTAGTCTTGATACGTAATAAACGATCAAAACAATGAAATTTACTCAGCGAGGAGAAATACCACTGTCCTTTTAATTTGCGCGACTGAAATATTTATTATTATTATTAGTCAATCCCTAGGTTTTATGTCATTTATGATGACTTCCGTTGTTTACTTAATTTTGTAGTTGTTGGTTGGATCCTTAGTATATAGCCTTAATAAATGATTGTTTTAGAAAAACTTTTAGGTGATGAATTTGCGTGTCGGATTAAATTTATTAATAACCTATTCTATACAACCTACACGTATTAATGGTAAAGAGATACTAACTATGGAAATTAACGTAATTTCTGTAATAGTTTAATCTTTGAGAAGTAGATTAACGGTTTGGGAAGTCACTCACGTCAAGCTGATAATTTTGCGCCAATAAATAGTTTATGTTCGCATTTTTAGGGTTTCAATGTTTTCAAGTTCTTGTATACTGCTCATAGTTCAGGTATTTCAGTCAATGAAATGCTATTTATAGATTGAAATAACAACTAAAAAGTGTGTTCGCTACTTTTTGTTATTTCCAGTTTCAAAACGGAATAGCATTTTTATTGGTTCCGCTGCACAACGTTCCCGTGATGTTAACAGGGACAGTTGTTTTATTCAAGAAGCTGTTGATAGCTCTGGTATTTATATACCTGGAGTAGATCTACTGATAGACGACTCTGAATGTGAGCCCATCGATCTTATATCTAGGTTCAGCAGAACTCCAATTTCTTCACCCAAAATAGTTGACCCCGGTAGCACGATATCATGTGCTCTTGCTGGACCTCTCTCTTCGTCTCATATCTTCAACCAGCTAGATTCCAATGTCGCACAAAGGTATATCACCAATTTGTTTTTTTATTTCCAAGGCTGATGAAATTACCAACTTGATATTCCAATAAATAAATGAGCTTTATTAGCAAACAATAAATTTTACAACCACAAATACTCTGGAAAAAAATGCTTTCCGGAAAATAAAATCTCACAAGATTGTTTTACCACAAAGTAGTAATTTTAATGGTCGTGCGTGGTGATTTACATGGCTTAGTTGATTCCAGTTATATGTGTAATTCCTTATATTCTAAGAATTGTGAGCAGGATCTTTTCATCAAAAATGTTGACTCATTTTCCCATCGAGTTTTATTTTAAAGTGTCCAGAAGCTAACTGACTCAGAGTACTAATGAAACACCAAATTTATGGTGCTGGTGTGTTAAACTACTGATTCAAATTAGTTGAGGTAGTTTATGGTTTTTAATGTGCAGTTTGTTTGCGATATCTTCGAACTGAGTTGTTTACTTAAAATTTGATGACTTTTTACTAAATAAAATATTCTGAGACCATATAAACACGTTTCCACTATACGTCAAAATTTATCAACAATGTCCACCAAGTAATACGTATTTTAATAATAGTACTTTTGAAACCTAATAGATAATTTTTTTCACTATCGTAAAAATTATGCAGTAACTAGTATTATCTAATGCTAGTATTATGCTAGAGTAGACTTGTCCGTCCCTACTATAATGATCTGAACGTTCTCTATATCTTAAAACTTAGAGTGACCTGTATGCTTTGGCGTAAACTTGTTGGAGTTACCACAATTTGAGATTACGTACTGTTAATTTGTGGTTTCATAATATCACAAGTAACTTATTGATGAGTCATGATTTATCTTAAACTCTGAGGCATCTAAGTGGTGTCATATTATCAATGAAGTAGATATTTCCCTACCAAATGACTAACTGATTATCTTAACCAAAACTAATTCCGGTTTTACCAGCAAGTTTAACTGTCAAACGTACCTGTTCTTCTCGTAAGTACATTGAGATTGTTGACGAGTTTTTTCTCGAAAGCTGAAGAGTATTTCTGTTGGTCTTTATGTAATTATTTTATCTATCTGAATTTTCATAGATATTCAGAAATGCTGTTGTGTAAATGCTTAAATCTACTATTAAGTATTCAACTGAAGCTTTCCTTTTTTATCTAATTGTTCTTGATATTCAGTACTTCTTTTGTTTGCCTTAAAAAAGACGTACATCTTCGGCTGCGACATCATCGCTGAGTGCTGTTTCTGCCGGAATGGAACTGAGTAAGGCTACGAAGGTAGGTGATTTCTAGAAGCCCTTGCTTTTGTTTAGACTCCGTAGAATACCTCCATTTTTTAAGACCTTAGTTATTTTTCAATGGTCACGAGTTATGAATCCGAATATAATCAAAACTGGTATGACTTTTGTGGCAACACAAGTTCATTTGAGCATTACCAGCAAAAACCAAGAGGATTTCCAATCGGCTTGTTACCGATTTCTCTAAAAACATTATAGCGTTAGTTTAACCTAAAATTTAGACCATCACCAGAGCGTTGTTGCACGAAAACATTCCAACACTAGAAAATCCTAACCATATGTTCGAATTACTGATATTTAATCAGTCAGTTAATTTGTTATCAAGACACGGAGTAAAGAGATGATTGAGAGAATGCTCTGCACTTGTCATATTTAAGGCCAGCATCATAAAAAATTAATTGTATAAACCGTGCCAAGTCTTTGGGAGATATTTTTTAATATAATGTTTCAAGAATGTTTCCGATAAATCTTGAATTTTGAAAATTGCATGTATTACTGCATCAAAATATTCTGTTTACAGTCAGCCAAATGAATATTACACTATTGAGTAAAATATTTATAGTTATCCCAAGTTTTATTTGAAGTTTTTACTGCATATTATGTTCGAAGGCATTCTGTTTTTTGGATAACTCCAGGAACGTTGCGCACAGCTAAGGCAACGTCGGCGAGCACAACCAACTGAAAGACAACCATTACCTGCTTTGCATCTGCACCTATCAAAAGATGGTACAAGTCCCCTGCCTCCAGGGTGGCAAAGAGCACCAAATACTAGGCGTTCGACAGAAGGACAAGATCTAGGGGATAGTTCTGGCACATATGCTTATTATTATTACCATGTTCGAACTCGTCAAACTAGGTGGGATCCACCTGTATATCCATGGGACGCCGATCCTACGGATACTCTTCTTGGTGAAACCGGAGAGGATGACCCGGAAGCTCCTTACAATTGGGGATGTGCGTCGCGATTCGCTGTCACACACGAAGAAATTGAAGCTGTAAGCCATGCTATTATATTCTTGTGATTATGTTACTGTGTATAGTTTTATTCATTCTACAATTACTATTCAATGGAGTTCGTAGTACTGAATTAAGTCTGTTCTACTTCATCCATCATTCTTCAAGTACAACTTGGTAAACAAGTTTATTTTCTCGCCTTGGAGCATCTCCAAGACCATACGACTTCGAATGTTGCTTCTGATGTCTCACGACCTCAACTTGAATTGTTTTTAATTTACATCCAAGTTGTTTTTCCTCTTGCCCTTATTTAAACGGTGTTGAAAAGTCAAACGATAAACTGAAGCTTGTTCTGTGTTAAAATTTTTGTCTATAGTTCCAAAACTCACTCTTATGCACAAAAGGAATTCTTTAGAACCGTTTGTTCTGCTGTACAAAAGCCAATAATTTCCAAACCGAACTTATGTTACAGATGTATAATCGCGTGCGTCAACGAATATTGGAACGTCAGTGCATTGATCTTCTGCATGAATTGGCAGGCAGACCAGATGCTCCTCAGGATGTAACTGAACAAGGCTTTGCCATGGAAGTTAGTCCTTTTATTTTTCTCATGTGTTACTTTTTTGTAAATTAAACACTCCTACTGTTAAATCAGAGACGTGCGAGTAATTAGAATAAGGTGTTTTATCCACTTGGAGTAACATTTTAAGGAAGGCCAGGCTATGAAGACCGTATTGCATGTATGAAATTATTAACTGATATAACGTGTGTAAGATAGCCTCATCATTACAAGCTAGATTCAAGAACTGTTGAATATGTATGATAATTTTATCCAAACACCTAGATTACTATGGACCACAGCTTGTCATGCGAACTTGGACGTAAACTACACTTACGTCTTATAAAATTCATGAGGATTCTTGGAATTATCGGCTAAATAATCTGTTGTTTACCACCTACATATAGAATCGGGCAACTTATTTTGATAAATAGCATAGTCGGTTTTTTAAAAATACATTAAAAATATTGCGACTGGCTAGATGAACAAACTACAATATTTTTATTTCAGTTATTCACTTTGGTCCACAATACGTTACGTGGCTTTCGTGATGCTCGATGTAAACTTGGTCGTATCGTTAACGATGAAGATTTATACTACTTAACAAAAAAGGTAGTTTATTCACTTTTGCTGTATACGATTGCTCTTTATAAGAATTCAGTTTTATACAAATGCTTTTAAGGGATCAGTCGTTAAGGAACCAGTTTTTTTAGATTATCCATTGTTGGAATAATCATGTCTTGAATCAAAATAAACCACACTATTGATTTCAGTAATTCATTGTGCGATATGTTTTAACATTATGAAATTACTGCTGAACCTACTAAGTCATTCCTATTTTTCCAGCTTGCTCAGGCCGTAATCCTAAAAGAAATACAGAAGTTTCATCAAGCCCAGGCAGCGAACACTTCTTTATTTTCAACTGTTCTTACTCCTGAACTTCCTTCGACAGTGCGATCAAGAGTTACCACTTATGTTAGGCGATACATGGAGTCTAAGGGAGCATTCTATCGTCGCCGAGTTCAGCTAATACCTGCAACAGGTATTTCTCGTCCGGAACAGGCAGCTCATCTAAAACCAGATCCTGCTATTTTTAAGCCATCTGTCAACAGTAGCATGCGTTCTCGACCTGTAACGCATCCTCAGAATTTCAGCAATGTATCTCACCATACAAATTATGTGGACAATGCTTTTTCGCAATCTGCTCCTCCCATTAATACTACTGCAGTTATTCCAGCGCGCCGCTAACAACTCAAAAGTATTGCTTCCGTCAATAATATCTGTAATTGTATATTTTTAGAGGGTTCCTTTATTCAAGTTGCTATTTTGGATTTTTATCCACTTGTTGCTTTATAGTTAATTTCCCTATCATAGTGGTCAAGTCTAAGACAGGTGTTAGCACCGCATATTTTATCGTCCTGCCCTACATGAAAGTGGTTATGTCGGATACTCGACAACTAGCTTGCGCTTTAAATATGGAAATTATTAATTTTTATTTAAGTCTTTTGTAAATAAACTTACAAACTGATTCCTTTGCAAGCTCTTTAATGTTATTTTTTTCCCAAGTCTATGGCCGTATGTTGTTATTGCCCAGTAATCTCATCAAGTATGCAATTTTCCTGTTTTCTAACTTTTGCATGTATTTAATAAAAAATGCAACGGCAGGTGTGATACAGGTGTTAATATGAGATTTGTACTATTGATTTGTAATAAAATTGTAATGAGAATCTATATTTTGTAAATTTTTTTACGTTTCCGATGTAATAATACAATTTTGGTTATGCTGAAAGTTTGTATTGTGATAGTGTCCTAATTTACTGCGATCATCATTCAGAATGTGGATTCGGTGGTGAAATCATTACAGTAACAGTAGAGATAGTCTAAAATCAACGATAGCAACCTTATTCGTTAATTTATTGTAGAAAAGGTACACAGAAAGTATTGATAATGTACACAACACTAATAGTTGATTGTTCGAAAGCATTTCAGTAGCAGATTATATTATCTCCATATCCATCCTAGTAAGTCCAGCATAAATTTCACTTGGTAGTCTGTGCGGAATACGACCAACATATGCTATCAAGGCCTTTGCTCTGGAGCGAATTTCAGAAGTAGCCATTTTTGAAGTGCTGTCCGCTCGCGTTCCATTACTAAAAATGTTTCAATAAGCCAAGTGGGTACGAACATTAAACATTTTTATCGAGTTAATAAAAAGTAGTTTCAACATCTATTTGATTTATCACGGAACTGACCTTGTGACAGATGTAACTCGACCACACTTCGCTGATAAGCAACGCATTAAAGCATATAATGCCCACGGCAGAGGGCGGCGTACAAGATCTGGGAGTTGCGAGAACAGCATCGCACAAAATTCTACATTGGAAGCTTGAGAATTAATTGGGAATAAACCCAGCTGATCTATGTGGTCAATAGCTGCTTGCCATCTTTCTGCATCAACTAAGTCGAAGAACGCGGCCAAATCGAGGAGGTAAAATAATATTTTTATAGCCGAGGTAGATCCAGTCACACTTGTTTCAATGTCATTTTGGATGAGATGATTACTATCATCTGATGACAAGCCTAGTCGGCGGACTTTATGAGCAATCTGTTTAGCAAGAAGACAGTTGAAATAATTATACTGTTTAGGTCGCAAATGTGAATTGATACACTTACTTTAACTTGAACATTAAATCGAAAAATTTTCCTCCCTATTACATTCCTATTTTTTATAAAAACTATTCACAGGAGCATAGGGACACTTTTTGAACATGATCACTACTTTAGTATGATTCAGTCAAAAAAGAGAAATAATTTGTGAAAATATATGTATATTTTAAGCAATCTGGTATCTTCAACACTGCGCACATGTCCAGAGTAATACAAACTATTAACTTTGGATGCATTCATTAACACTTGTTAAACAAGTAGAATATATTTCCGAGCTCTTATGAGGCTTCATTATGAAAACATTCATTACACTTTGTTTACCGATTTTATATTCGTTTAACTTGTACTTATTTAACTATAAAGATAACCTTTTTCCCAGACAGACTGTAATAATGACTGTTTTCCCCTGTCGAGATCTTGATGTTCATGCACTAGGTATATCGCGATGCTGAAATTATCGAAAATACTAATTGCTGAAGACGAACATAATTACTCTTGAATATTAAGTTTGGATGCGTGCCAAAGAGGAGTTTGTGACGATAATGTATACTAATCGACAATAATTATTAAGAACAATTAATGTATTTCTTCATCCTCAAGCCTTCAAGCACGATGAACATTAAGGTCCATCATGGTGGACAGATTGTAGTAAAATAATTATCATAACATGTACGAAATACGATAGTGAGAGCAAGCATACAAAAATGCAGAAAATAATGTTTAATGGAATTCTGTCTTACCTCTGTCGCAAGTCTCAGAAGTGAACTACGATCCAATTGTCCTCCGGATCGGGATTGTGTAATTGGTGTTGACCCAAGATCAGATGTTACTATGACACTTGATAGTACAGTATTTATCAAAGTAACAGAAACTAAAACGTCAGGTTTAGGATCTCCACAGGAAGAAGCTAGTAAATATAAATGAATAGCTTCAACTACTTGACCAGTGGACTCAAAAACATCAGCAACAGTACGGATCAACTCTCGACGGGATTCTACAGACCTGCAAAAGCGGTCGATAGCACCAGGCTAAAAGAACCGATATTTGTTAGCATTTATATGTTGATGTAAGAAAGGCATATTAATTAAACGAAATATCAGTTGTAAGATGGAATCTGAAATTATCTAGAAGGTGGACTATACTCAGGCACCTGCAGAACCAAGTAGCTATACCATCGATATTGGGACGCGTAGATCTTTGGAAGATGATATAGGATTAGGTATTATAATATAAACGAAACAAAAATACTCACCAATCTCTCAATTGTATTTTAAACATGCGACTTGACGTCGAATATTTTAACATCCCTGATGAACAGTTAAATGTACTAATTTTACTTTTTATGTGCATTATACATCTATGATATAAATTACAACTTTCTTAAGTTAGACAAATGTACTTGGACATGTCAGGAAACACGTTTGTTCCCGTTATTCAACACTAAACTGGTAAATGATACATAATGGCTCGACCACACAATTTAAAAAAGCGTTCTCAGTGCTGCGAAATAGGTCGAAACCGAACTCGCACTACGTCCTTATTAACTATTCGGCCCAGACGTCGACAGGTGAAGACAATAAAAAGCATGTCTTATGGTAAATACGACTGATGGCATGGCGAAGAACATGTGTGCATTTATGAGAATGTGAGTTTCGGAGCGCTACGCGAATTCAAGATGACGACTCGAAATTTTAATTTTTCTAACTGATTCTTATCTCTTTTTGAAGACATATTGCATTTCCCAACAGTATTACAGCTTGTTACAGCCAGAATACTATCACTCCAATAGAATATATCAAAAAAAGAGGTTAGTTATCTACAACGTGATCTAGTCTCAATAGGTTAGCCATCAAAAAGTGACAGGTTCTACAAAACATACACACAATGAGGATCTCAGGTAAATTGTAACTTACTTTGCGAATATCGTTTTCACCAACACATCCCAAGAGTAAATCTAACTGTAAACAGTAAAATGAAAGTACACTGGTTACGACCATGTAATACAGGTGAATATCGTTAAGTGGATTTTCAAAAAGCACTCAATTTAGTACATAAACTGCAGCACGAACTAATATGATTTTAGATAGAATGAATTCATGATTATCCATAGAAATTGGAAATCTGAAACAGTACATTATCTCGGTGTAAAAAAAGTGTTGAGTACCTCCCAAATAAGTTTTAGATTTAAGTCACAATCTGCGTGTATAATTTTAGTACACTTCAAGAAATTCGATTTAACTTTTAAAAAAGAAAAATATTAGTAACAATACATAACGGTGTTCGTTGCGAATTTAAAGCTGACAAAGACAGTAAGCATGATAAGTTTACAATAAAATAAGACAGTTCAGGACACAGTGAACAATTGTTGGAATACAATGTGCTGGACTATATGCAATGCCGATTGGTAATAAGAAGCTTAATTAAGAAGTAAAAAAAACTGTATATAAGTTTTATAGTGATAGTAACGTATGTAAGAAAATCATTATATCAGCGAACAGAATAACAATGAGCATAACTGATAAAAATGTACACTCATTTTTATTATAAAAAAAAACAAATCTCCATGTAACGGAATGTTATTTTGAAAGTGAAAAACTGTAACAGCATACGTCTATATGATAGCCAATTGTGGCAATTGAATAAATGTTTTTCCTCACATCTAGAGAACCATACCTGAGATTTCTACTTGCAACATGTATTGGCGATATAACTTAATACACAGCGTCGTGACTTAACAACCTGAGATAATTTTTAGCGATAGAAAAGTGAGTTCAAGCAGATGGATTTATTTCATAAGTGTAACATACAACCGACTAAATAAATTGACTACAGAAACTCGTTAATCATTGCAAAGGTAGTAGAAGAATATTTCCATTTTGCATTACATGTATAGAAGAAACAGATCAACAGTCGAATATACTAATACTTATAGTTTAGACAAGATAGATTATGACCAGACAATTAAGTAATGAAACGTAGTAACTAGGTACACATTCATGAACTCGTCTGTGAGTCACAACTGGTGTGAAAAAGATGGTAATATTACCCGCCTGCTCAGAACAATGTGGAGCGGAGTAAAAGTTTGATTAAAATTTTAGTGCTTAGACCACTAACCGTTGATAAGCTATCGAATAAGTTCGAGGAATGAACATGTATCTTTTTTCACTAAGCAATTTGTCAAAATACATTTAGAATCTTGGAACTTAATAGGTTAGGAATCGTGATCCAACTATTAGTTTATACTAGAGAGTATTGCACGATACAGATCCCTGTAAACTATGTATATTATTTAGCAATAGGACTATTTAAAAAAACAGTTTCGAAAAACCTACCTCCTTGTTTGCTAAAGCCAATTCACAAACACATTGGACGAACAAATTTTGACCTTTAGCAGTCAAATGTTCGAGAGACGTATTGTATAGACCACTTGGAATAGTTGCATTAGAATCTTCTTCAGGTGACTTTTCAGTAGTAATTGGGATGTCAGAAAGCATGTAATAATACATAAGGGCTTTTTCTGGATCAGTGAATTCAAATTTCCGCGTATACAACATAATTAAACGAGCCAAATTAAGCCTGCGAAACCCTGTAGGATCGTAATCATTACGAACCACTTGGTATAATAAAAAAGTACAGAATGAAAACTTATTAACTACTGAGCTGAAAGATGAAAATTCTTGATATACTGCCTTTCTTATAAGTAAAAAACAGTTAAGGTAGAAATAATGTTAGGGAACATTAATCAACAATTCAGTCCGTAAAAATAAATTTTAGAGCAAGCTAAAAGCTCCTAAAAAACTAATTATGGTGTAGAAAAATTGACTTAAACTATATTCGTACTAGGCGGTTTACTAAGACTATCATTATAATACACTAACAAACCCACGTTATAGAGACTAATGTATAAGCCTATTAGATGGCAAATTTAAATAAAAACTAATTCACAATCTCAACAGGGAAAAAATCCAGAAAATTATCTTTATGGTAACTTTATATTCAGTTGTATTTGAAAGTTATACTTCCCACTTTATTTGTTGAAACAAACATGGTTTGAGTGACAGCTAAGTGGTTTTAGGAATATATGCATTGAGAAAAAAAAGATAAAACTGAACCTCATTCAACATCGGCTCGATTATCACAATAAACTAAATCGGTTAGGATAGAATAGTATATAGTTTGTGATAGAAAAATAAACAGAAATTAATGCGACTTACCAAGTGGCGCGTGGAGCCAGTTGGGAAGTAAAAGCATATGTAAGTCTCTCAGAACTAAAGCAATATGAACAGCATGGCATCGTAGTTGTTCAAATCGAGCGAGAAATCCAATAGCAGCTTCATACTGTTGAGTAAGACAAAGTATTTTAAAAAACACCAGTGGTTGAGACCATGCGTCAAAGTGCACCTCACCTAGAAAAAAAGGAAATGGGAACTTTTTGAGACTATAAAAACGATTTTTTGAGGATGTCTTGTATGGAATGAAAGCTCTGAAGAACAGCCTGTAATATAGTGCAGATGAACTAAACTAATCTTAGTTTAGTCAAGATACAAAGCAAGTGACAATTCTTGAGGCCTTGACTTTCATTTACTCAGTACTTTTGCAAACAATACTGTAACTGACCGTTCAAAGTTAATAAAGTACAAGTTTATTTCTTGCACAAGCAACCCACCGTTAATTCTTTCAGTTGCACACTATACAAGACGGGAAGCCTTGCAAATTACATAACATGCTATTATAACTGTGGACTTTTTCATATTAGTCTCTTATGAAATAATTCAATAATATTTGATCGGTCAGAATGAGAAGGTAGGGGAATCTCAAAATACTGGTAAGAAGGCTGCTTTGATGAATGTACTTGTAGTATGTAAATCAAAACACAAGTTCAAAATAAAACAAAACAGGGCATTGAACAACAATATAACTTCATCGTGCTACAACTAATTGTGATCAGATTAAATATTATGATTTAAGATGGAACAGACAGGTAAAAAGTTATTTAACCCTATAATCAAAGACGTGTGATGTGTACATATATTCTAGAAATTTGCTAGACAGATAGAAGCGTTGACAAATAATTACTGCAAGCATGGGTATCAATGAAGAGAGGAGTCATTATACACTAAACGTAAGTCATGGGGTGACTTCTCAAGCAACAAGCTTGGCATTAATTTAAATTAATCTACTATAAGAATGTGGAAATCATATACAACATAACAATACAATAATTAACAAAAATATTCATACCATAGGTTTCGTATAGTAAAGTTTGCAATTGACCTAAAGTAAAAGTATCATCCATACTATTTTTTGATGCAACCACTGATTCTGAGGGCTCTTGAGCAATAACTTGAGATATCTTTATCCATAGAAAGTCATCTATATTTGAAATAATGTCTGAATGATTTTCAGTGAGGTCACATTGGCCAATAATAGAATATGTTAGTCTAAAATACAAAAAATTGTAGTGAAAACAAACAACTAAACATCTATAATTGCAGGAGCGAAATAGGAAAAGCAGCGGAATATACATAAAAAATGAACGTGAATAGGAAATTAGTACCATTTTTCTCATACAACTTTATCCTACATTCTAGAATAACCTATTTAAACTTTCTTAAATAGTAGCTTGTTCTACTGTATACGTTTGATGGAAGTTTTCATTATGATCTAAAAGTAAATCTGATGCCAAGACAACTAGGTATTATTACAACTCAGTTTATAGTCTCCGTTTGTTTTCAATGTAACATATATATGTGCCCAAAACTTAATTAATTACTTAACTTTATCTTAGATAGCGAAGCCTATTGTTGATTTTCGACGTGATGAGTAATTTTGTGATTCAAATGGTTGAATACAGTATTGCTTAGAACGAGCATTTGTTTCTCATGAAATATGACTTTTTATTATATTACTATATGGACGTTAAAAAATTAAGCAAATACTACAGTAACAATAGAAAATTATATTAAACAGTTATTTTCGCGATTAAACATGGAAACATTATTAACTTATAAAGGAAATTGCGAAACACTCCAATCAGTGGTCAGAATAAATCCAACAATTCAACTTTAATCCATACAAAATGGCAATCTTCCAAAGAATTATTTAAACGAACAATGTTAGTTAATGTACAAATCTATTTACGATGGCCTTGAAAATTGAGTGATTAATTAACGTGCTAAAAAACGAAGGAGACAGAGTATTTGACTGTGGGTATAGATGAACAATGAGTTTCCCCGAGGTTTTGAAAAGATGAAAAAGGAATCTGAATTTATAACATCTCCAATAGAAAGACAATACAACATGATATTAGCTACTAACCGTTTATATGGATCACGAGTAGACTTGATCACTTGTTTGCATGTCTGACGAAATCTTGCTTGGTTGGGAGTTCTGAGACGGCGGTTATGTTTTACATAATCCTCTAGCACCGTTACAAAGTTTCCTAAGTTGTTTCTGAGAATAATATGGAGAAAAGAGAAATATTTTATGATAATCAATATGAATATTAAAAACAGTGTCATAATATATTTGGTTATTAGTTTTCATGTTCTAAAACGCTAGGACTCATGACCTGGTAACTTGAGAATAAAATTGTGGTAGGGAATGAAGCGGTTTGTTAGTATTGCGAATCCTTCACCTCAATAGACCCACTTTGAAGTAACACCAGATAAATTGCAATGGACTGGCAAAATGCGTTCGCATATCAAACTTCCGTGTTTTATAAGCAATATTCCCCTCATGTTTTTAAAAATTTATTTCTATAAATCACATTTCTGAGAAAAATGAATGCATAGATATTTTATTTACAGAAATGTAAAAAGGCTTCACAAGTAGGTAAATTGAATAACCGACGGTAGACTTATCCCTAGTAGTGACTGTAAATGTTGACCACTAGTACAATGGAGTGGTTGTTTAGTGATTATATGACTCGGCTTTTTAGAATTACGTTGTGAATGCGAACCCTGTTGCATCTCCTTGGATTTAGGCAGTTAGGTAGTATCACTCGTCCTCAAGAAAATTACATGGTTTGAAAAAGATCAAATTAACTTATATCAGGCAAGTGACATATATTAGTAGTAAATACGCTACAACCTTTGACAAAGTTCGGGATTTTACAGTATTTGCAATTGAAAATGCAAGGAGTTCAAATTAATGCAGTAACAAAGGAAATAAGGAGATCAATCTTACACAGCGTTTTATCGCATCGATGATTAAGTTTACTAGAACAAACCAAGAAAATTACAAGGAGATAAACCTAGAATTTATGAGAGCAACCCAAAACAGCATGAATTCCATTTGAGTCAAATCATAGGCTAGTTCGCATTTCAAGTGTCACTGATCAATAGGATCGAGAATAATTGCGAAATATTACTTCGTTGAAAAAAGTGAATATGAAGTGAAAAGTTGGACTAATGACAGTTAGACCAAATTTAGTTATTCAACACGATTGAAATAAGAATGGATGTACTACTAGAATAACTCAGAAAAACATAGCCCAGATTACACTTTTAAGAATATAAACTATAAAAACTAAAATTATTTTTTGAAACTCTATTTGACGAAAAAGAGATCAAAGTACAACTTTTAAGTACCATGTGATAACAAACTTGATTAGGAAATCAGATTCGAAGCTTTTATGATGTACCATATGCTCTTTCGATATTCCAAAAACTAAACTAAACGCAACTATACGAACTCTTTATGACTTACTATGGCAGTCTTACAGAGTTCGATTTTAATGAGGAAGTAATAAAAAATTGTCGTATATCACAAAACTACTTAAAGTAAATGACCCAGAAATAAATCCATACATATAAAAACTGTTCACACATATAAATATATTTACTTCGTGATTTAACGAAAGCGATAAATCACTTCAAGTACCTTATTAATATGCTAATAAATAACGCAGGTCATATTAATCTGTAATAAGTAACTTACAAGGCATCACGAGCAACTTCCAAAGTAACTTCAGTATCTCCCGTACGAAGGCAGTAAAAAATCATTGGCCACACAGGAACACCATCTACAAGACCATCCTAAAAGAAGAGGAGAGACTAGAAGAATTGTTTCGTCAATATAACTTGGGAATTGTGAGCGAGTTGATGACCTTTAAACGTGCGTATTGGTTTGTCAATATTAGCTTTATCTGCTCGAATTTTAAACAGAGAACCCACCATTTAAATATAAAAGACCTTGTTGACATAAGCTTTTAAATCAAATTTTCAATAACCATTATTAGTTTAACGTAAAATTCGTCAGGTGAGAACCAGCTTCTGACCCGACCGTAGCTGCTACCTTGACGCGGTGGTCAAACTTGCCTATCGTGATGACCCAACCGAGCTATATTGGCTGGAACATATGTTCCTGTAGGTTCTACCATGCCAGGCAGGTCGATTGGAGAACGGTAAGACCAAAAGTAGCAGCTCAAGGTCTGAGGGCGAAGTCGTACTGCTGACTGTAGAGGGGTGTGACAGCAGTAAGGTGTTTCCCTCAGACAACCAGCATCTACAGCGATGCTTCCTTCTCACAAGGAAGGAAGGGGTTAGAAAAGGTCAACCCTAAAAATGTTACACCTCAACCTTACCTCACGGATTTCCATCTCCGGCGGTAAGGCCCTTTGAAGAACGGAGCTAACACGTCAAAAAACTCCCACAAAAAGGCCGTGCGCGACCGGCCTCAAGCAGTTGTCCCCTGGGATCTGCGGTCACGCTCCCAGGCCGTTAAGGCCGACATTAACCCGAATTCCTTTCCAGATTCCTCAAGAAATACCCTTCCACGGTGTGGGCAGCCGGGAAGTGACACCAGCCCTCATACCCGTAACAGTACACGAGACCAAGTTGGTCACATTCAAATCTTTCCTACACCTCCTAATACCACTCTTGCCTCCCCGACTATCCCTTCTCACGTCCTTTTTTCACCTCGCACCGCTAGGGCAAACGATTCGAGTACGCGGAACGTTATTCCTGGTCTCCTGAAACCACGCGCTAAACTACATATAGGAGCTTTTAACGTACGAACACTGTGCCAAATAGGACAACAGGCTTCCTTAGCTAGGACTTTAGAATCTCGCGCCATCGATGTGTGCTGCGTCTCCGAAACGCGCATACAGGATCCGAGTAGCGTCATTAATTTGACATCACCATGTCAAAATAAAGAACCAACTCGATTCACACTTCGTGTATCTGGAAGCCCAGATGCTGCTTCTCATGCACTTGCCGGCGTAGGCACAGCATTGAGTCCTAGGGCAGAACTAGTTCTCTTAGAGTGGATCCCAGTAGACAGTCGTTTGTGAGCTGTTCGACTAAACGGAACAGTAAGAATCCGGAAATATAGGGACACTCGTCGTTGCCTCTTCGTCGTCTCTGCCTATTCTCCCACTGACTAGCAGCTCAGATGATGTAAAAGATGAGTTTCACAGAAAGCTTTCCGACCTCCGAAAAGCTAGGCGCTCTGATGTAGTAATAGTGGCAGGTGACTTTAATGCTCAAGTAGGTAAACTAAGCGAAAGGGAAAGACACCTAGGTGGATTTTATGGTGTCGTGGCTCAAAGAACAGATAATGGCGACCGTCTGTTGCAGCTATGCTCAGATAACCGCCTTTTTCTTGCAAATACTAACTTTAGGCATAAGGAAAAACATCTTTTAACATGGAGACCCCCTAATTCGTCCTAACGTTGGACCCAAATAGATCACATCGCTATCAGCCACCGATGGAGAGGCTCGATAGAAGACTGTCGCTCATTCTGGAACACATGCTTAGATTCATATCATGCTCTAGTGCGAGCGCGTATTTTCCTGCGTCTTACTGGACGTAGGAAAGACGCTGCAAGGAAACCTCTTAGGGTCCTGTTTAATGATAGTCAAACTAAGAGTATATTTCAGAAACAACTAGGAAAACAGTTAGGTAGCCACGTATGTGATGCCCACCCCGAGGCAGCATGGAATGATATCCGAAAAGCTGTGGAGACAGCAGTGATATCTGCTAGTACGGTAACCCGTAAGGTTAGGGAGCAACATTGGATCTCACCAGCATCTATCGCACTGATAGATGCTCGGAAACTCATTCCACCTGGCTCTGAACATAATGAAGAGCGGAGTCAGCTTAAGCGCAAGCTGACAAGAAGCCTACGCAATGATCGCGAACAGTAGTGGGTGGCGAAAGCAAGAGAGATGGAAAAGGCAGCGGCAATAGGTAATAGCAGACAATTGTTCAGACTTATTAAGGAAACCGACTGTTAGCGAAACAATCTCAGAGAAAGATGAACATATTATACATTCTTAATGCAGGAGATTGGATCGATGTATAGAACACTTTAGGGATCAGTTCAACTGGCTTTCAGCCACAATTCGGTTTCCCACGATCGGTAGTCAACCTGAATGGCAAGTTAATGTAGGTCCTCCGACACTTTGCAAAGTTGAAAAAGTCATAGGAAATCTGAAGCGAGGGAGAGCAGCAGGCCCTGACAAGTTTACCCTTGAGATTTTTAAGGATGGTAGTCCAGTATTAGCAGTGAGATTAACTGAGGTCTTAGGTAGAATCTGGGAATTAGACGTAATCCCATCTGACTGGTCTCAATCACTGATTGTGCCAGTCTATAAGAAAGGACAAAAGTCCTCTTGTGACAATCACAGACGAATCAGTTTGACTAATATAGTGTCTAAAATATTAGCTTCAATAATACTTCGACGCCTAACTAAAGCTCGTGAAGAGCAGACTATTATTTATTTATTTATTTGAACACATATATTGGTACAGGAATGCGCCGAATATATATGCGCCACACAAAACAATGAGAATCTAAGAAGAAAGAAAGTGAGGAACGTAAAATAAATGATGATAATAAACAATAACGAAGAGATTGGTGTAAGGTAGTGTAATAATAATAATAATAATAATAATAATAATAATAATAATAATAATAATAATAATAATAATAGCAATAGTAGGGGAACAGAAGGGTACAATCAGAAGAAATCTTTCAGCTAAGGAAGATACAACCACTTTTTTATGAAGAAAGTAAAAGAAGGTTACAGCAGGATCGCCACTGGCTTCTATTCTGAGCCATATCTGATAACATTTCTAGCCACTATGTAGCACCATCTCTCGGACCCCAACCAGGGAGTCGTGAAGGACCGACACAAGCCAGTCCTTTGCAGCTTTCTTTCATGCCAAGACACCATGTCATATACCGAACTGAACTGTCTATGATCATGAAGAGCAGACTAGAGAAAATCAGGCTGGCTTTCGACCTGGACGTGGTTGTATAGACCATATATTCACACCACGTCAGGTTCTAGAACACAGACACACGTTCAGGCGCCCCACAATGGTAGTATTTCTCGACCTTAAGGAAGCCTTCGACTCTGTTGATCGTGAGGTTCTATGGCAGTGTTTGTCACTGAAAGGAGTACCAAAGAAGTACATAACCTTATGAAGGCTCTCTACTCGAACACAACTGGTCGAGTGAGAGCTTATGGAGAACTGTCATCAGAATTGATTACCTCAAGTGGTGTTCGACAGGGCTGTCCACTCTCTCCATTCTTGTTTAACTTTGTCGTTGATGTACTTTTAGAGATAACACTTTCCTCGTCTAGATTTCCAGGAGTTGAACTTCTACCGGGAGGTTCACTTGTTGACTTAGAATATGCTGATGACATAGTTTTATTTGGCGAAGACGCTGACAAAATGCAGAGTCTTCTGACCACTCTAAGCAACAATGCAAGCATGTTCGGGATGCGATTCTCCCCCTCGAAATGCGAAATGTTGCTTCAGGACTGGGTTACATCGACACCCGAACTAGTGATAGGGAGTGAAGTAATTGAGTGTGTCGATCGCTTCACTTATCTTGGAAGTCTCATCAGCCCTTGTGGTCTGGTGTGTGACGAAATCTCAGAACGGATACAGAAGGCTCGACTAGCTTTTACCAACTTGCGTCATTTATGGCGTAGGCGAGATATCCGTCTATCAACCAAAAGACGTGTTTACTGCGCAGCAGTTCGTTCCGTCCTACTTTATGGCTGTGAAACATGGCCGGTAAGAGTAGAGGATATCCGTAGGCTACTAGTATTCGATCATAGGTGTCTTCGAAACATTGCTCATATATCATGGGACCATCGAGTAAGTAACACAGTTGTTAGGAAACGGGTACTGGGTAAGGATGGCAAATCAATTGATGAAGTAGTGAAACTTCATCAGTTGAGATGGCTGGGACACATGTTACGTATGCCCAACCACCGACTGCCTCGACGTGCTATGTTCAGTGGTATAGGAGTAGGTTGGAAGAAAGCTAGGGGTGGCCAAACCAAAACATGGCACAAGTCCATGAAGTCACTGACAAGTGGACTGAGTCGTGTTGGTAGGTGTAGACTACCTGGTTGGGGACCGCGAGATGATAGCAACCGATGGTTAGGGACCCTGAATGACATGGCTCAAAATCGTTTGCAATGGCGCAGGTGCATCCACTCTCTGTGTTCTCCCAAATTCTAATCTTCTGAATTCTTCATGTCCCCTTTTTTTCTTTCCAAATTTATTTCACTGTATTATACTCCTTGAATAACATCTCCAAACCCTAATCTTCCCGATTACTGCTTATACTCTTACTACTTCTACCACTACGGGATTTGAATAGACAACTGCATCTCTGTGCTAATGTGGTATGGCAACTCGAACTGATGTATGTACGTACGAAGTTCTACCTTGTTACTGACTGACTAACTGACCAGCTTCTGAATGGTTCATGTTTGAGAGAGTCCTGAGTCAAATTACTTAGAAGTTTGACTTTTGAGTCAAAAATAGTCAAGTCCAAAGACCAGCTTATTAAATTAAATCAACAATGAAACTAAATTTTTTATCGAGTCAGATGACATGTAACTTCAAGGTGTGATGATTAACAAACCATTAGACAATTAAACACATAAACTACAAAGTGCATTGAAATACTGACATACATCAAATTCCCAACCGTTTTGTTCGGATAATTGATAGAGGTTACTCAAAGAAGGAACATCTGCTACGTTGTCGGATGGTAGACGAAGACTCAGATATGCACGCACTAATGATCGGGTCCCTGGACGTCCACCAAGTCGAGCTAATCGAGGCTGGTTAGCAATCGTTATTTTTAGAAACTCTAGAAACTCAGACTCCAAATGTTCTAAAGAACATAGTGATAAAGTATTTTGTATAGATACAGACGCTCGAACTTCCAATGGATGGTCATATGATAACATACTACTATGCTCATTACGCATATGATGAGAAATTGTCTTCATAATGTTCCATATTTCCGTGATATCAGAATGAGGATTTTTCAGCTGCGTTTTTAACTGTTTTTCGCGAGAAACTGAATCTTGAGTTCGTGACATATATGTTAGTAAGTCACGAGGAACTCCATTTTGGATAGGTGTGAAATCGGTAGATGTGAGACGCATGGTAAGGTAGTAATCCAACTGTAAGTTAATGGAAAAAATACCAATATATTTATCATTACCCAAAGATTCCACGTAAAAATAGAAAATAAATGGATAACACAAAAATGAACTGACAAAATTTCATAGGAACATTGCGTATTATTTAAATGTGGATAAATTGAGAGTACCACTTACTCACATGGTCCTAAAATAAACTCCCTCCTGAGTACTAGTATATCTCTTATTTATATTGTTAATCTATCACCAATATCGCTTGCAGTCTCTTCGAATAATCCTTACTTTGCGACAATTACCAACGAGTTTAGCCTTTGGGATAGCATTCCTTATCTCTGAAACTACGTTGCTGACGTTCGAACGATGAATCGATTCGTACAAGAAGACTCATAAACTAAAATGCTAGTATCTTCGATCATGCTGCATCCGTAAGATAGTCATATAAGATCTGTGATTATTTACTTGGTTACGGTTAATCGATAAGGTGAACTGGTGCACTTAATGCTACTAATGTTTCGAGGTATAATAACTTTCAGCTGTAGGAATAGCAAGGAGTTCTAAAGTCGAATGCACATAATTTCACTGAATCTTAACAGTCGCCTGTACTCTGTCCTAATAAATGGTTATGAAAGATGTGAATAAAGTGATACACTACGGAATACGTCCTTACTAGATACAATTCGGACAAATCCCAGTCCTCATTTGTTTTTAAGGTATCCCATGAACAAAAATAGCCATATTAATTAACAATGGGTTATGAGATAATTCTTTATAAAAAGTAGATAACATCCGGATATTGTATCTAGCTATAGTATTAGAGAATAACTACATAACCGAGTAATTACAAGAAACAAACGATAATAATTATCATTATATTACTTTAAGGATATCGGTGCGACAAAACTCAAGTCAGTTGCTAAAGTGGTTATAATGAACACATTTACCTTGCCATTATTGATTAGTATATCTTTTATACGCGTTTTGCTTCAAAAATCAGTGAATCCTAGTTTGAAAGAATTTGTTAGCGTTGCTTCAATATAAAAAGAGTAGATCTAGTTGTGCTATCAAGAACTTGGTTTATAATGAGCTCGTATTGAACTAATTAATTTCATAAGCTTTACATATACAATTCAGAAGCAGTTCGTTCCGTCCTACTTTATGGCTGTGAAACATGGCCGGTAAGAGTAGAGGATATCCGTAGGCTACTAGTATTCGATCATAGGTGTCTTCGAAACATTGCTCATATATCATGGGACCATCGAGTAAGTAACACAGTTGTTAGGAAACGGGTACTGGGTAAGGATGGCAAATCAATTGATGAAGTAGTGAAACTTCATCAGTTGAGATGGCTGGGACACATGTTACGTATGCCCAACCACCGACTGCCTCGACGTGCTATGTTCAGTGGTATAGGAGTAGGTTGGAAGAAAGCTAGGGGTGGCCAAACCAAAACATGGCACAAGTCCATGAAGTCACTGACAAGTGGACTGAGTCGTGTTGGTAGGTGTAGACTACCTGGTTGGGGACCGCGAGATGATAGCAACCGATGGTTAGAGACCCTGAATGACATGGCTCAAAATCGTTTGCAATGGCGCAGGTGCATCCACTCTCTGTGTTCTCCCAAATTCTAATCTTCTGAATTCTTCATGTCCCCTTTTTTTCTTTCCAAATTTATTTCACTGTATTATACTCCTTGAATAACATCTCCAAACCCTAATCTTCCCGATTACTGCTTATACTCTTACTACTTCTACCACTACGGGATTTGAATAGACAACTGCATCTCTGTGCTAATGTGGTATGGCAACTCGAACTGATGTATGTACGTACGAAGTTCTACCTTGTTACTGACTGACTGACTAACAATACCTATGTAGTTTTTTAAAACTGTCAGATGTAGAAACACATGGAAATCGAGTAACGAAGTAAAAAAAATTGAATAAAAGTAGTCTAAACAAACCCACTTGGTTTGCATAAAGCAGTTCATCCCGTGTTAACTGCATAGTTTGTATTCCACTCCCCGATTCGGAATGACCATAACTTTCTAAATCAGGTAAGGAGGTGAGTTCTGTATCCAGAGGCCCATTTGAACCCGATAGACCACTTAACACTCCAGCAGCTTCTTGTTCCCACCAGGTTTGTAAATAGGCATCACACCGCTCCTCAACTTCTTCAAACACCTGAAATAAGGAGTCGTATCATCATCGCATAACCGTTAACTGATTTTTAAAATGGCTCATATACCATAAAAAAGCCAAAACATTTTCATACATAAGAGTACAAAGTTTGCTTATTTATTTATTTCAACAGAAATATTGGTACGAAGGGACACCAAAATGTATATGCGATACGTAATAAGATGAGATTGTAATAAAACAGAGAAAGGAGGGTATGATGTCTAAAAAATGAATGAGAAGTAATAATAATAATAATAATAATAATAATAATAATAATAATAATAATAATAATAATAATAATGGGAGAAGCAGTTCAGTTAAGAGAAATACGATCAGAAAGGATTCCTACAGTTAGTTAGCTTCCTCTCAGTTAGGTGGGAAGAGTAAAAAACCGAAGGATCTTCACTGTGTGGCATTATCGCCAGGACCCTAACCAGGGAGTCGCGAAGAACAAACAGATACCAGCCCTGCACAGCTTTCTTTTGTACCAGGACGACACCATAACATACACTGAGAGGCCCTTGGTACGGCCGAGAGTGGGGAGAGTCAGCTCTCCCTCTCTAAATGTTTTTACATGACCACGTACATACAACCGCTGCCAGGATAGTCCTACTCACTGCCTTCTCATGGCGAGGGTATTGGTTACGAAATTGAGAGGATGAACAGCGAATGTCCGGCGCTTTAACCAGGTTGGTGGATACGGAGGATCCACCTATGTGAGTTGGAAAACCCTCATTGCAAACCAATGGTGCACATGGGCTCCAGGATCCTGAGGAAACAAATGGCGTATGAACCAACTGTTGGTCACCGGCAACCATGGGACTGCATCTCCAGACGTGGCTCCACTGCCTTTTGGATCATACCTTTAGGTCGAAGGCTCCGGGCGTGGCCCCCTAAGAATTATTTGTGTGGCGCATATCTATTTGGTGCCTCCTTATACCTATGTTTGTGTTTAAATAAATAAAAACACTGACCACTTCTCCGCCTTTTTCAACCAGTCCTAGTGTCGACAAATAATTCGCGATGTGAATTTCGCTAAAACGGCATTCGTAGTACGTGTCCAAGCCACCAGTCTGTTTCTAAATGGTAATACCAATTAACATGCTATTGTCGCTGGATATCAGCAATCCTTCGGAGATAGCGATGATCAAACACAAAGAATCGCTTAAAATCTTCAACTCGAACAGGCTAGGTTTCACAAGCATAAAGCGAAACTGCTCTCACCAACGCGACGTAAATCCGAAATTTTACGGCCAGGCTAGCATAACAAAGGCGCCAAATATGACCTAGATTGGCATAAACCACTCTAGCTTTCACTATAGATGAATTGGTCTCATTACTCATGCCACCACCAGCACTTACACAACCACCCAGTTACACGGACTTCTCAACTACTTCTAACTGCTCACTACCAAGAGTGAATGTAGGTATAAGGTCCTGTTAGTTTTGCTAGAGTACTTTGCACTTGGAAGGTGCAAATCAAATGCCGTAACTACGTAGCAACTGACGAAGTGTGGACTGGATAGCTTGGGAATCAGCACACAGTAAGGCAATATCATCAGGATTTTGAACAATCTGCAGAGTACGACGGAAGTCATTAGTTTGGACGCGATCAGAAGTAGATCTATCCACCAATATCTGTTGCCTAGGTCACATAAATCTTCTTTAAAGACAGGGATGACTCATCTTATTCAACGATGTTAAAACACTTTGTAATTACTGAACATTTGTAAACAACTCAGTTAGTTCCTTAACCAGGTCACCATTGTCTTTAAAAAAGATAGAGGTTAAGTCATCTGACCCTCAACATTTGTGGCGCGACAGGTGGAGTGCATGCGTAATACCTCACTAGTCTTGAGTACGAACCTCGGATACACTACAAACAACAATCTTAAAACTCCCTAAAGACATAGCTAAATGTGTCTGTTATTTGATCAGTGCTAGTGTGAAAACACTAAAGAAAACCGGTTTGAATGGCATACGTGATTTCAGTAAGTCTGGTAGCATATAACTTTTGACCAACTAGTCAGTGACTTACGGTTGTTGAGACAGGACGGAATTTCCACCATGTGCGAGTTGTTGTATGAGTTTAGAACAAGAGAATACACAAAAGGGGTATGAAAGGGGAACAGACGAGTGACGAAATGTAAAATAAAAACGAATATTAATAAATGAGTGTTAGGATAATCCATTGTGGTTGAAATCATCATTTGGTATGTACATGGGCTAGGATACTGCCTGGGTACCCAAATCGAAGCGATTGGTTTCCTTTGACCAAGTGATTTAGTCCACAAGACAGTAGAGGGATGTTAGAATGAAACGAGGTCTCGTGGTAGAATAAGAACCAACCGAAGGAAACACTCTGATATTCAATATTTACTCACAAATCAACATGCACTGATACATTTTGGAAGTAAGAGTGAAGTATACAGCCTGTATTATCTCCCAGCTTACACACTCACGGCAGATTTTCTGTATTTTTTATGTTATCGTTTCTTAAATTGATCAACAATAAAGATCTGAATCTTACCATATATCGTAAGTAATAATGGTTTCCAGATATCTTAAGGTGGAAATCAATGGTCACGTTAAATCCCATCATCCAGTTTTGCCATCTTATTAATCGAACTGACAGAAAATCTATTGGTACGGGTCATTTTTAATCTTAGACAATTTCGACGAGCCACCATCTACTGATTTAAACCAAATATAGACAATAGTCTCCAGAGATAAGGATCGGAGGTCAAGTAACCTATATTAGTCCTCGAGATTAGTAACTTTGTGAGGATATGGGACGATCTTAATATGTTAGCATTCGTGTACTGGGTTAACACAGGTTCACCCACCTACTATCCAAATTACTGAAGACTGATTTGGATACATTTCACAAGATTCATACTTTACTTTGAACTCCTGGAGAAACTGTATAAATTAGGATAACTAAAACAAAAGGATATTTGTTCCTAATATGTAGTGGTGAACCTTACCTGCTAGACAGGAAATCAGAATGTGAATAATATTGAGAAACGATTAAGACCAAACAATTAAGTAGACCTTAACCAGGAAACTATAAAGATACGAGATTTTTCAAAAGAGCACCTTATTGAGAGGTGTAACACGAATAGTTTGTGAGAGCTGTGAATCTATTACTAGCAAACTCAAGCCTGGAAACATACAATTAGTCATCTAGTACTAGCATATACCAAACAACCTAAACAATATATCATAGCAACGGAAATTGATCAGCATGACCTACCGACTTTCGAGTCATAAGTATTGCGGTTAGCAATGCATTATCTCTCTCTGATCTTAAGAATGACTGGATATCAGTCTTGGGTACAACGGGACACATGTCGTATACATCAGTCGGAACTAAATTTTCTAACTTTGTAGTCAGATTTTGAGGCAATTCGTAGCTCATTTTTGGCCCCAAAAGACGAGCAGCTTTAACATCACTGTTGGATCCTCTGGACAAATAGAGTTTTTCACCTAAGTGACGCATTTGGTCCAAGCTTCTAGTGATATGCGGCAGATCATTATCTTCTTGTACGTCCATAAGTAACTTCTCGGACTCTTGAACTAGATCGTCCAGAGTAAGATCCATTTTTCAAAATAACTGTCGATCGCGCAGAATTTCGAAAGAATTTAGCGTCGTGCACCAAGTATAGGAGCGATGACCTTGAAAATAAAACCGCTCGCTATCAACAGAGCAGGACAAATGTATCATTCCTTCCATAACCTATCAGCGTCTAACGTATTTAACTTCTTTTAAATTTCCTTGAGAGATATCAATAATAGTGTGGTCAGATTCAGTCATTCCAAGAAACGCTTGCATTCACACCAGATCACGAGTGGGAACGCTGTGCTCAACAACCCCTGCAATCACTAGCCAGATTAGATCAGACGATCCTCGATATATTGCTAACCTATCAATGATATCTCCGAACCTCCTCCCTTCTGTTTCTTGATTTCACTTGGTGGGTACGATTCATATTAGGTGTTACTGGTTAAAGCGTTGTCAAACTACGAATACCTGTGCCATCTTCATTGGTGAGCCTAACGTGATCTGGTACACCAAATCGTAAACTGTGAGTCTGTTTCATTCTGGGATTCTATATACCATTGCTTTATTTTAACTTTTCGTACATTGTGATATTTTTTCCCGCGTTTTTGGATATCTATATATTTTTCACTCGTGTATTCTCTTATTTAATTTTACCCTATGATTGAACAGACCTCCAAGGTATTTAAGATTAAGACCACGTCCCCACCCTCGTTCCAACTCATGCCCTTCTGGCACGACAATTTCGAAGCCTGGTTCTGCCACACAGAAGCCGACTTCCACGAGCACGGTGTGAACGACACACGTGCACAATTCCTCGCAGTAGTCAAAGCACTACCGCGGGAATTCAACAGGTACGTAACACCTAGTATGTTTACTAGTGATGTTTCTGACCCGTACGAAACCTTAAATCGTTCTATCCTTAAACGAGGAGACCTAACCGATCGACAAAGGTTAGACCAACTCCTTAATAGCATAGACCTGCAACACCGTTCTGCGACGGACATGTTGCAAAGGATGAGAGAGGTTATAGACGCAAGAACTTTCGACGAAGGCCCATTCAAACAGCTTTTCTTGTCTAAACTTCCTCAACAGGTGCAAGCGGTTCTGGTCTCGTTTCAGAACAACGCCTTAGACGAGCTGGCTGCATCTGCCGATCGTATCTTAGAAATTACGAAATCTACTACCGAGGTATTTTCAGTCAAAGAAAAGCCTCAAACGACTCAGAATGACATAACCGAGTTATGTCATACACTTACACGTTATCTTAATCTTCGTAACGACCGTAATCGCTCGCGCACCCCACGTAGAAGCATTTCACTTAAGCGATCTGTCTCTAGACCACGAGAGACAGATAACCCCGACTGGTGCTGGTATCATAACCAGTATGGAAAGTTTTCCAGAAATTGCAGAAAACCCTGCAATTTTCCCAACACGAAACCGACTGATTCGAAAAGCAATTCGGGAAACTTCCAAGCCGGCACGCGTTAACGGCAACCGTAGCCGGCGAACATAGCAGTCTGTTATACGTCACAGATGTGACAACGAGAGTTCGCTACCTCGTCGACACTGGCGCAGAAGTTAGCGTTCTCCCAGCAAATCCCAACGACCGGCTTAACGAATCGGCTCTAAACTTACAGGCGGCAAACGGAAAACCGATCGCTACGTATGGCAAAAGGTACGTTTACCTTAACGTGGGTTTACGCAAACCCATCCACTGAATTTTCGTTGTTGCAGATGTTTCTATGCCGATCATTGGTATGAACCTTCTACAACACCATAATCTAATCATCGATACGCGCAAACGGAAGCTAGTAGACGGAAACACTAATTTATCCGTTTGCTTAACTTCCTTCTCTGGTTGCAGATTATCCCCAGTCACAATTAATCATAAGATAGACCCACATTATCAACCACTACTCGATAAGTATCCTAGGATTTGCCAAACACTACCGAAACTACCGTGTGTAACCAGCAACTTTATGCATCACATCACGACCACAGGACCACCTGTGTTCTCTAAAGCACGACGACTAGCCCCCAGAAAGCTGAGGTTGGAGAAAAACGAATTCAACCACATGATAGACTTAGGAATCATACGACCGTCAAATAGCCCATATGCATCTCCGTCGCACATTGTCCCTAAAAAGGGTAGCAACGATTGGCGTCCAACTGGTGACTATCGGCGATTGAACGCGAAAACCATTCCCGATCGTTACCCGTTGCCTCACATTCACGATTTGACAGCTACCTTGAAAGGTACAACTGTCTTTTCGAAAATCGACTTGGTTAAAGCGTATAACCAAATCCCTATGGCTACTGACGACATACCGAAAACAGCTGTCATTACTCCTTTGGACTCTATGAATTTTTGCGAATGCCTTTCGGTCTAAGGAACGCTGCTCAAACATTCCAAAGATTCATAGACAACGTTTTTCGAGGTCTCAACTTCGTACACGCGAATGTTGATGACTGTCTAATTGCAAGTCCGGACAGAGAAACACATCTCAAGCATCTGGATCTTGTTTTCGACCGACTACAGAAACATGGCATTACTGTAAACATCCAGAAATGACAAGTCGTTACCCACTCATTAGACTTTTTAGGACACACTATCGATGCTCAAGGCATTCGACCCCTTATCGTCTAAAACCCTTAAACTACGCATCAAACAGATGGGAACAGGTAAGGAAACCTTACTTTGTGACACATCTACAGGTAGGGATCGCCCAATCGTGCCGAAACGCAATGTCTTCAACACATTGCACAAACATTCTCATCCAGGTGTTCGTGCAACCATCAAGCTTATAGCAGAACGGTTTTGCTGGCCTGGAATGAATAAAGACGTGAGGGAGTGGGCACGCTCCTGTGTAAGCTGCTAAAAACCTAAGGTCATCAGACACAATAAATGTCCCTCAGGCTCATTTAAAACTCCCAATGCTCGTTTCGACCATGTTCATCTGGATTTGGTAGGACCTTTACCAGATTCAAATGGATACTCTTATCTCTTAACCTGCGTAGACCGTTTCACTCGATGGCCAGAAGCAGTAGCTATCAAGAACATCACTGTTGAAACAGTGGCCCGCACCTCCGTCGAACGATGGGTATCAAACTTCGGCTGCCCTTCAACCATCACTACAGACCGCGGACGACAGTTCGAATCCGAACTTTTCCGTCGTCCGACCACACTTTTAGGAATCACTCGCTTCCGAACGACAGCCTACCACCCACAAGCAAACGGGTTGGTAGAACGCTTTCACCGACAACTAAAAGCTTCACTATCAGCTGCAAACGTTTCACAGTGGACCGACGCTCTTCCACTCGTCTTACTAGGTATCCGCAATGCAGTGAAAGCTGACATTGGATACACTGCGGCTCAACTGGTTTATGGAACGGCACTTCGACTTCCAGGAGAATTCGTGGATTCTTCATCCTCTTGAATGAACATGGATCTAACATCCTACACCAGCAGGCTTGTAGTGGCATTGGACCATAATCACACAATACTCGAAGCTGGCCACGAGACTACTCGGAAAACAGATATTCAATAATTAACGCGGAGAAATACCTAAGGATGGAAAAGGAGGGAGAAATGAGTTGAATGAATTGGAGTTGATCGTATGGCATGGCTCGGCCATGCAGGCGTGGTCCCTGCGGAATATTACTTTATATCTTTTATTCATATTAAATATATTGATCCTTCTCTAGCTTAAAGTTGTTCTTCATATTGTATTGGTAGTTGTTACGATACGATGAGTTGGTGTAGACGATGATGTGACTTCTACGTAAGATCTTATAGATTAGGCAGTTATATCATGACAAATCTACAATTTTAGGATTAGGTCTATTATTATCACAGCACTAATATCATAGTAGACCATAATTCTACAGGCTTACAAACGCAATGCGTTAAGTTAAACCTGTTTCCACTCGACCTTAATCAACTGATGTTTTCGTTCAACCTGACTTACGACATAGTACACACATCTTCGTACGTCGAAACTCACATCGACGACCTTCCAAATCAGAATACGATGGACCTTTCAAAGTTCTTCAACGCGAACCGAAGTAACATATAATCGATGAGGACGGAACCAACGATAGCATCAGCATCGATCGCCTCAAAGCAGCGTATTTAGAAGGAAATCCTATCTACGTGGATTTTCCTTCGGTACAATCGAACGACACGACACCGACAATTATAATACCTCATCCGACAACCAGCACACACGATGATACTTCGACAGTATCTGAAAATAAACTTAAAACAACGCGTTCTGGGAGAAGAGTAAGATTTCCAGAACGTTTAAATGACTATTGTACGTAAGACACTAGTTAATATTTGTTTCATCTCGATTTTCCATGGCATTATATATAATATTTAAAAAATTTTAATATGCTTATATTTTTATATATTTATCATTTGGCTGACATGTATATTAAAAACATTTTTAAAAAATTTGTAAAAATCGTTTTTACGATATTAACCTTTTTTTCGACATTAGATGCTGACCACACGTTTTAATGGACTCACCTAGCTGAAGGCGCTCGGTCATGCAACCGCACCAGATTACGTGTGGGAGTGCCGTGCTCAACATCTCCTGCAATCGCTAGCCAGATTAGATCAGAGAATTCCAATATATTGGTAATCACCAAATACACTCTTCCGATCTCCTCGACTCTGTCTTTTGATTTCTCTTGGTGGGCACAAATTATATTAGAAGGTGTTGCTGGTAAAAGCGTTGTCAAACACTGAATATCTGTGCCATCCTCAGTAATTCAGTGGGCTACGTTGAAATCGGTCAAACAGTAGTCTTATATGATTTGGTTTTTCCCCTGGAAATGAAACATACTACGGATGAAAAGGGCGTACCCTAAACTTTTGGGGTCATTTACGTATGTGAATGAGTGCACAGGCATTTTGCGATTCGGTTAGCCAATAAAAAGCTTCTGTCTTCAGGGCCTGTGAGGTTCAATTGACCTCCAGAGAAATCCACCACCAAGTTGAGTCTTTTCCAAGTCACACGACTTATCACTGAATGTTGGACAGTCTATCGAACATCGTCAAAGACAAGAATGACTAACGCCAGCTGATCAACTGCACGCCATGGACTGGAGCACACAACACTGGCTCTAAAATACACTTCC